GAAATGGCGCGAAACACTCCAGTATCTAAAATGTGTATGTGACCGGATTTATCTTCGTCCCAGTCTTATCTCCCAAGAGTTGTGGTGCACAGCTTTGGTTCTTTTCTAATGCGCGATTCGATTTCGCTCGCATGATACAGCAATTCCTCCAAGAGGAACAAATAAACCGTTCTTTTAAATGCTGTTCGATTAAATTGAATTGGGGTAAGAATATATTTAATCCATGTAGATTCCGGTCCTATTTTAATAATATCGTTGCTATTTCGCCGTTTAACAAGATGTGTGGTCGTGTATGGGCGCGTTGACACGTCGCGTAGTTTGCACAGGATCGAAGATTTAATATAACTATATAAGCACGAATTCCAAAGGCAAAGTGTAAGACGAAGCGAATGTATCATGCGGTTTATTTACATTTTTGAACAAATGAACTTCTATACTGCGATGTGCTTCTGAATTTCGCGATCGAACATTTAGGTTCGCAAGGCATCTAAATGCGAATTTGTATGCGAAACAATACGCGAACTGTATTGTTTATGTTCAGAAGCTCTATATTGAAGACTGGTACGTGCGCCGGAGTTAACGCCAGAACGGCGTCTTGTTTCATGTAAGTTCGACTTGCATGTAGTATAGAAATATTTAGGTAAACTTGTTCAAATAAGATTTTTTTAATTCTGGCTATGGAATATAAAAGAAATACAAAAGACGTGGAGAAGTTACTCGCAAAGTTTCAATTGAGAAGTTACTGCATTTTAAAACAATTTCGATATTCAAATTCAATCACTTCTATAATTCGCTATGTTCATTTGAGCATGTTATGTTAAGTTCTCACCTATCTATTAAAACCAACAAATCCGTGTCTAGTAGCCATATATAGCAAACACGCCAATGTCCTCAGTCATTTGTAGATCATAACTATTGCAACCTTTTCGCGGAGAATCCTCGAGCCACCGCTAGAGGCGGCTTCCTTTTCTAAGGACTTCGTGATGTGCTCGCTAACATCGGCTGGGGCTTGCTTCCGAAGATCTTTGACATTGAACATCATATCCAACAGCATATCGCCTTTGCTCGAGCCTTGTTTGAGGCATTCGCCAACATCTACGATATACTCCAGTGTGTCTACCTCACATTTCCACTCGTGTTTCTCCGCCACTGCTACGATATCCTTACCGCTGACATTCCTCTTCGACTTCGGAAAATCCTTGCCCCGAAGTTCGTTCTGCATTCTGACTGCAAAATTGCCTTCATCTTGTACAACGCAAACGATCACACCGTTGTGTTCCAACTCCTTGTCGTAGACATCGACCAGTACTTGTTCGGGTTCTTCGTAATATAAACTTTGCATGAAGAAAACCAAATTCATCTTGCATCCACCAGACTCCCCTGATTTTCCTCCGAGGTAATCAGGCAAGCTCGCTGCGCGCCAGTCAAACGCAATTTTCTTGTATTCCCGCTTCTTGCTGGAACTCAAGGCAGCTTTGTATTTCTCCAACACGGCTGCCTGAGCATTCACAATTCTGAAAGAGGTCTCCGTGCCCGGTTCCAAATTCCGCCATATTAGCGACAGAATCTGCAAATCGGTGTCCCCGTCTGGCGTGCCTACGTCGAGAATTGCATATTTTCCACTCGAGAAATCAGATACAACAATTTTGCTAGCATTTGCAAGCACCCATTCCGTGAACACTTCTCGTTCGGTGGATTTATCAAAGTATTCCTCAACGTAACTCGGGTACGCGGGGTCGTGATTTAGGTCGCTCATCTTGATACGGCTTAGCTTGGTTCAGACTTAACTGGTACTGCAGGAATTCGAGCAGACTGTTGAAAAACAAACAGATAAAGCGTTAGCCGTGTTTATCCATTCTTAGGACTTTATCAAACATTCCTTGACCTTTTGACCTTTCGTTCTGAAGGTCCTTAGCAATACATAATTAGGCAAGCAACTAAAGCTCAATATTGTATCAATTTCATATTTCCAGGGGGCATACGCGAATAATTGTATCAACCCTGTGAGACATTCACTCTAATTTCTGTATTATTTCACAGCCCTAGAGCTGTTCCCTTTGGATTATTTTCAAGTGATTTACCCAATCATCTTTTGCAGTTGTTTTAATACTCTTGAACAAATATGATGGTTTGATGTCAAACAATTACCGGCGAATATGCGAGACAGCAAGTGATCATGTTTGCATGTTTCGTCCTTATCGATATGCGGTTGTTTTTATTACAAAATTAAGTGCCTATTCCTTTCTAGTTAGTCTTTCTGTCGTTCAATACAGGAAAACGGCGACTGAAGCCCGTGCCTTCACGTGCAAACACGGAACCAGATAAATGAAATATTGATATTGTGGAAGTTGAGGAATGTGATGCCTTGTGTCAATAGGTCATGCGCATTCCATTTATTTTGTATGAACTTTCTCTACGCTCCATAAAAATAGGTACGTCATGCGTACATGTGGGTAGCCTCTAAAGCATTGGCTGCGATAAAGTTATCCGTTGGCAAAGATTTTCAAGTTGTGTTCATTCCTAAACGACAGGTTGCTAAAATGGCGGGGAAATATCAAGTGATGCTTAGTTTTACGTTCTAATGCCATACGCAAAGGCAAAAATGGGCTAGTTAGCTAGTTGGATACAGTAGTTATAATAAAGTAGATTTTATTAAACAAAACAATTTAACAATATTTTTCATTGTAATAAATACATTTTAACGACATAATCTGAATATATTAAAAGTGTATTTACAAAAGATAGGAAAATGCATATTTTTCGAAACAGGTTTAAACGACGGAATAGAGATTATACATACGACACGTTGAGAGAGAGAGAGTATACAAAAGTTGGACAGAACAAAAAAGAAAGGAGTAAGGTTGCAGGATGGTGGCACTCCTTAGTTTGGTAGGAGAGTTTCAGACATTTTCATGCATGTTGATTAAATTCACTTAGTTTCAGTGCATCATTGTTAATTAATCACAGAGAAAAGTCCGACATCCAAACATCATAGATTCTCTAAGAATTGTCAGCTCGTTTGAAACAGCTTGAAATATCCGTTAACAGCTGGTAATATATGTTAATACGTGGAAAATAATGGTGGGAGGCTATTGTTTCAGCAGGATTATACACTTGGCTTTGCAAAGTTCATGAGAATACGTTGTCACCTTTAGCTCGAGATATTAGTATGATTTCACAGATCCAGCAGGAATGTACAGGTTTCATTGACAATAAATTGTCACTGTTGTAATCAGTTTTACATTGAATGCAGGGGCAGATCCAGCATTTTAGCTAACTGATGCACTGTTTTGAACCATACGTCAACACCTCTATGGAGTCCATATTTCATATTTTCATTATATTCGACCATGCAGAAGTCGGGATTTTTAGCACTTTGTTCGTGCACCATTGCACCAAATAATTATTATTGGCATATGTCACAGATGAAAGCAATTAAAAGCATGTTATTTGCATTGATCTTTGCTTGTTTAAAAGACAAGACAGTAATGAATGGGATTAAAATGCAATTACCAATGATATAAATGAGGCATACATTTGGCAGTAAATATTTGTCTTCGGTTCTGAAGCAAAAATAATCTCTGTTCCATATTGACCATGTTAGTGGTCGCAGTTTTGTCATTTGTCATAAAAAAGTTTGAGTTTATTATTCAACAACTATCAGCTTGGAAATGAATGGTAGCAGACGGAAAACATCTCTTTGCTATCTCCCCTTTTTTTGCTATTAGACACTTTCCTTAGTCTTTTTGAGAGTGTTTTTCTTTGGTAGTAATTAAAATCAGATTAAAGTTTGTTTCATCCAATCATAGGATTTTAGAGACGTCATGCATTTCATTTCATCGTTCCAATCAGTGTTTTAGAGTTCTGTGGCGTATATTTATGGTATTGCAACTTATATCGTGGGAGACAATGTATGATAAGTCGATAAGAACAAGTTGGGAATTGAAATTTATTTAAGAAAAATTCAATGCACACACGTGCGCGCCTGTTAGCGGGCTACTGTGTGTACAAATAGACCTTTTGCATTATAGACTAATTTTAATGGCATGTAAGGAAATGCAATCAAATCGCCACAGCTGAAAAGAGCGTACGGAAATTAGAAAAAATGCGGCAAAGTTTGGTAGCGAAATATTGTAAAATAAAATAATGTTGGAAAATATAGCCTCGCAAAATTTGCAAATTTGTTTACTTTTTACTACAAACGCAAATTGTTAGCACGTTTAGGCCAAAAATGGTAACAATTTCTGTTTATTCTGAAAAAGTATACTTGATTTGCCATCTTTGCAAGGCTATATTTTCCACAATTTACAACATTTCGCAGCCAAACTTTGCATTTCTACTAATTTCAGTACGCTCTTTTCAGATTTGATTGCATTTCCTTGCATAGATCAGGAAGTAGTCTTTAATGCCAAAGGTCTAATATGAATTGGCGTAGTATTGAATCACATCATGGAATCATATAGTAAACAATTAGCCAATCGAACAGGGTACTGGGTCTGGTCGCGAACCGCAAAGCACCTATGGAGTATGGAATGTTTGGAAGGACAGGAAATAGAAGTCTGAAATCATTTGTGATTTGCCTCTCCAAACAACCCATAGACGCTTTGCGGTTCGCGACTAGACCCAGTACCCTGCTTGATCGGGAAATGGCTGATGGATGCACAGCTGGAACTAGGTGGCGTATTGTAAACTGAGTATGGCGTTTTTTTATCCCTTTTTTGCGCGTGAGCTAAAAGTGGGCATGCTTGGCAAGTGACTGAAATTTTTAAATTGCTTGGATTTCTTGCTCAAACATTTTCGATTAATTGAAGCTTTACAATATCGTCATTTATATAGCATTTTACGCACTTAAGATAAATTACAAGCACTTGCCGAGCATGCGCACTAAAAAGTGGGACACTAGTTCCAGCTCTTTATGCATAATTTCTCTGTGATTGAATATCGAGAAAGGCTAGCCTGCGAACGGGCATATTCTGTGCTATTATAGTTGTTGTGAATTTCTATTGTCAAGCCGAACTGCCGAAGATACATTTCGCCATGAAATAGCGTTGAAAGCCGGTGTGTAAAAGTGTAATCTTTTGGGAACACGATAGGTAAGTGAGGTAAAAACTAAGGAATAAAAAAGAATAGGAATAGGAAGTTTGTTAAAATGTCTGTGTGAATACAGTGTGGTTGTATTGATACTTTATGTCTTTATTTTTGACTATAAAGCTACAAATTTAATGTTGCATTTTAGTCCTATCGGTTAAAGCATTAATGTGATGCTTTAGCAATTACTAGATTTTGTGAAATTCAATGATGGTTTCTGATTGCGAAAAGTAAATCTTCATTGCCATATATATGTTAGTCAAGATTGTGAATTCATGTTGACAATATCAAGAAGTTCTATGTTGCATTACAACACATATTGAGCAAAATCTTTATTTCAATCATACAACTTGGCTTGATAGAGCTCTCTGGTAAACTTTTGTGTTATTAGATCAGCCCTAGCCTGCTTATCAGATGGTTCACAACCAGAAATAATACGAATCTTAACTGCCTTCATAAATGTTTATCCCAATTTTACCATAATTTGTCCACACTTTATTGCCAGATAATTAATTTGAACATATTTAGAGCCACCAGTGCTTACATGAGGTGAATTGGTTTGGTAGTGCCAGGAAAATGCTATAAAGATCGATTCTTCTTATTATTATTCTGTTTCTTTTTAAGCAACATTTCACATTCAGGGGCTGGTCGAATAAACTCTTGACCAAATTTTGTGTAGTTAAATCATAGCTAACTGGAAAATACATTCTCATTGGCCAATTCTGCCATTAACAATAGTTAAAAGTTAACTAAATTTTTATACAACCATCCCCAGATGAACTATTATGTTATTATAAGAGCATAATAATCTTGATTACCGGTAAATCCAGGGATGGATTTATTAGTGTAATAATCTAGCTAGATCAATAGGATACAGTGGGGTTGTGAATTTTAGTATAGTATTTAATGGCCACATATCACATATTGTATTTAGTTTTTTTACCTTGTATAACTCTTATGCATGAAATATGAAATTTTCCATCCCAATCTGGTGTATAGTAATTAAATATAAGAAAATCATGTGCTCAAAGCGGAAGCTGTCATTCTCATGCCTGCATTTTAAGAAAGGTGTGCAAGAGGTGCACAGTCACTGCACACCTCCACTGACTGGGAATATATGCACCCCCAACAGTCATCCCGAATTGAAACGCCAAATTTAGAGTTAACAAAATAATCAAGTGGGCAACCAACTTTCCACATATAAAACTATACAGTTTATATATATCCAGCTGATCTGAGATCATGACGTCATAAAGCGTCTTGACAAAACTGAGTTATCATGTGCCTGGTGTTATTTGTCCTTATTTTTCGAGCTAATAGTATAAAGGGTGAAAAATTTAAATTCTAATATGCAGTTGGGAAAAGAATAAACGTGTTTTCACATAAATATAAAAAATAACTTGATATTTTCGAGTGTCAAAGTCATATGCAATGAAGGAAATGATAATTCAGTTTTGTCGAAGATCTGGCTTCTGATTAGTTGATTTTTATACCCAGATCAGCTGGATAGAACTATATTTATGCATCAAGATATATAGAAAGTGAGGTATATTAATCAAATACCATCAGCCTATCCTTCATCAGCTTACCTCTCCTATAATTATTTGCCATCTTTTAGTATTAAAATCTAGGATGATTCATCCTCCAAAATTGTACACCTGCTTGTGTATAATTTGATGAAAAACTAGTGACTGTAATAACAACGCGAAGGGCAAAGGTGTAAAAATTTGTTATAAAATGTGACGTCGTAACTGTAAATTAAAAAAAACTTAACGCCTTTTTAAATTTTATTAATAGAGAGTGAATACCAACTACAGGCTGGACTTTTCTATGTACCACCAAATAAAGTTGACTATTAGAGCAAAATGCAATATGGTTAGGGTTAGGGTTAGGGTTTTTTTTACTTCAAAAGCGATTTTGATTTCTCTTGATTTATGCCAATCCATGAACAAATTCCATCGTGCCCAAAATTTGATTTTATCTATTGTGCATTTGCTTGAAACACCAATACAGTGCATGTTCGCACCAACAATGTTACTCTAAGTAAGTATTTAATACTGCGAGGTTTTTGGTCCGTTAGCCCGGGCCTTCATCAGTGCAATTTACTCGTGCAATTACCTGAATACACATCTACACGTCACTTAAAGTTGACCTCAGTGAACTGTAATAAAATCGTACATTATATCTATATAGCTCTGTCGTTAGGGAAAATTACAATAATCGATCATGCATTAAAACTAGGTATAATAGTTCTAAGTATAACAGTTTACAAGAACAACTTAACTAGACTACTCGCTAATGTTTGAGTTCCATTCAGACAAAGTAATGTCATTAGTTGATGCGATGGACGCAGTCCTTCAACTTCGACTTCCACGAACGAACACCACGCGAGCTCTAAGCAAAACAAAGCAAAGCAAAGGCGATCTTTCGTCGTAACCAGCTAACCACCATATAGATGGAGAATGATTCTTGTCAGCTAGCTTCGCACCAAGGAAGGAGAGAAAATGTAGGGTATCTCTTCCGCATCCGCCAAAGGCGCTGAACACGTCACTTAAATACCACGTTTGTCGTGATTCGTTTGCTCGCCCCATTAATTAAACGGTTACCAAACAATAATGAGAAAGAAATAGTTGAGGCTATAGCCTTGTCACAGGCCTTGTCATCTAATTGGTTGAAGTGCTATAGACTTAATTCTCCTAAAACCTAGAACCGAATGTTTAAGAAGCTAATTCGGCAGACACTTTTGCCTGCTTTAAACGGGAAATTGCAGTAAATTAAGGGAAGATGCTGTGCCACACGTGCCAAATACGTTTTTATACATTACATTTTTTAAACTTTATCCTTTTTTAAATATCTATATCTTACTATATGTGTGACGCCCCTCGTGGAAATCAGCTATATTTATATATGCTGTCGAGGCAAGCGTGTTTAAATGAAGGTTTTAATAATAAAAAATGCGCTTCGTGCAAAAATGGCGGAGTCGCAAGATCACTCGTATCACTCGTTTCATATCTCTAGATTTTCACTCATCGTAATTTCACTGATCCTTCGAGGACTGATCTCGCGTATTTGCTCTACGCGACTAGCAACGAATACGTGTAGAAGCGACGTGCGTCATTATTGGTAAATCATGTATTTATGCAACTTTCATATCCGTCATGTATTATGGCTCTAAGGTGTAGACTATATACACCTAATGGTGTTGAAGTTTAACAGTGACTTATCGAGACAACCGCTGCTGTTAATTCACGGTAATTCTAATCGCGTGATTAAGATGTATCTCTAATGCATGGCGCTATACGAGATCCGCCTGTAACAAGTGAGCAGTACATTCTAGCAGTAGATTCTCAATTCTCACTTTCCACAATCATTTTCAAATAAGAGCATTGGCCATACCCTTCGTTTCTTTGCATCCGATAAGTGTTAAAGTTCTGCATCTTTCGACTTGAAAAGATGAGTTGGGACAAGCATATTGAAGAAAATTGTAAAAAAGTAGGGGCTGGGATAGCTGTTATAAAAAGAATCAAGGCCTTTATTCCCTTTCATACTATGCAAATGATTTATAATGCTCTGATACAGCCATAATTTCATTACTGCATGTTCTCCCTCCATGGGGAAACTGCTGTGGAGCTTTAAAAGACAAGCTAATTCAAAAGTGTTAAAATCGTGCGGCTAGGATAATTAAACACGTAAACAAATACGTAATCAATCTATATTAATGTCTAGAATTTTAAATAATTTGAGCGCGCCAAACCTGAAAAATTCATTCACCAGGATTAGCACATTGCAAGGTCATCATAATCTAAGAAATACTCTAGCTCTTCCTATTCCGAGAAGAGATTTCCTTAAAAAAATTTTCCAATATAGTGGCACGAAACTTTGGAATAGCCTTTCTCCGGAAGCAAAATAAGCAGAATCAGCATACGTTTTTAAACGAATTATTAATTAAATAGGGTCACACCAATATAATAGGTAAAAATTTAAATGTACATATTTTCCACTAACTTTCTATTTTCACTTTATCTTTTCATGTTATTGTCTGTAAATAGTTATTTTTTACTTTCTTTTTGCATGTGCATCGACGCCCCTTATGGAGACCAGCAAATATTGATGAGGCTATATAACATCGATCAGATTTTAAATAAAGGTTACGTACATACATACAGTAGTTCCTCGCTAACTCGAACTCCCAAGGGGAAAGAAAAATTGTTCGAGTTATACCGGGGGCTCGAGTTAACAGGAGTTGTTGGTGGTTTAAGACGTCGTTTGATTTTCGTATTTTCTAGTAGGTGAATGTCCATTCGCCAATCTTTCCCACTGCGTTTTGGAAGCCGGAATAACAGTAGATTATGTTCAAACATTATGAAAGTAATCACTAATCATTGAGACATATTGTGTCCCACAAGTGTTAAAAGACTATTTTAAAAAGTGACCCTGAAATAAAGGTCTCTATATTGTTGGCAACACTCCTCACCCTGTAAGTTGTTGGTCTTTCATGCAAAGTTGTACAAAACACCTTTTCAGATTATCATGGATTTAGTTAGAGCGAGGTCTTTCATATCAGCAGCACGATATTTCACAGAAATAGATTGAATAACTCGCCTCTCATGTCCTATGAATGCGAGATCAATTTTTAACGCTGGTCTTTTTGTCAATTTGGCTGTCTGTTCGTAGTTTACACCATAAAAATCTGCTTTAAAATGCCGGAACCTGCGGCTTCTGTTTCCCTGTCACCATCTTTGCATGGCAAGGGTCTTCGCGCCAAAAAGGAACATCCATGAGAATTGCCCGGAAGTCTATGAACGACTCTCATTATTGTGTTATCGCATGGAAATGTAGTCTCGATGTTCCTCATTTATACGTACGTGGCAAAACATTAATTTGCACGTAATTTCTACTCACTCCTTTCTAAATAGACAAAATACACCGATTTACCTATAGCGCGTGTGTGTTCGTTTAATCCGGCGCTTGTGTATAGGATGTTAATTCAATCCTTTTAAGATCTTATTATCTTATTACAGTAAAGATTGAAGCAAAGAAAAGTTAAAAGTAGTTACGGACATCAGCGAAAATGTCTTTAAAACTCTATGAAAACTCTTTAAACCCAGTTCCTCACTATATATAGACGTTTTTATTCGCGCGAACTAATAAAGAAGCGGTTCTAATTTTTCAAGGCGAATTTTTGTGACGTTATCTGTAATAAAATGATGAAAATTGGTGGTAGAGTTCTTTAACTCGGTTACATGGAAGAACACCATAGCCGGGTAAAAATATTTTTAATCCCTGATCTTATATTGCAATAAATATTTATGAGCTCAATGATAAGAATATACTTTGATTTGGATGAAAGGTGGAATGTTTATAAGGACATTGCATCTTTTAGCAAATAAAGTATTCTTTCCATTGCACGAATGAAAGCATTCATAATTTGTTTATAGCCATATAACACCAAAATAGGTCCTATGCTGTTGAGTTATTTTTTAAATATACAACAGTTTACATATGATCTCCCCACCGGCTATATTATTCGTTTTGTGATTAAATGCATATCAGCACGATTAATACTGTGAGTGATTGGATTTAGTGAAAGCCACCGCGTGCAATGGAAAAAAACTATTTTCACGGCTATAGACCATGTGATGGAAACTAAAATGGGAATTTTTAATTCCTCACAAAAACAACCAATTAATGTCCGTTACATAAAAGTTGACTTGTACTCAGAGCTTTAGCCGACATTGCTTTTAAATGAAATAAAATCGGAATTTGTGTACAACTTCGTAAGCGCGTTTTTGCTATTTTTGTGCATAGGCTCTTGCTGCTGAGATAGCTGCAAATGGAAACGAGAAAGCGCTAAGGTTGAAGTGTTTATATTTCCGTAAGTCCTGAGTTCCCAAGTCGAAGTCAGCTTGCATGCTGTAGGAAAATCAAGGCCAATTTCACTCGTAGCCAACCATGTAAGCTCATAGTGAAAATATACCGCTAATGAGACGTAATTCGGGGAAAGGATGGCAAAGTTTCAAAGCGAAAACAATTCTAAGTATAGGACGTGAATGAAACACACTTAACTTGTATTATTTTTATTTCAGGTCCTTGAATGTACCCCCCTCTCATCCGCGTTTTCCTCGGTTGATACAAGATCAATAGGTGTCGAAATATGTCAAATAATACCAGCAGTGAAGAATTACATAAATGTCGGGTCTGTTGTAAAACATTTAGCCGTCGAACGTATCTCGTATTGCACGAAAAGATTCATGGTGAAAAATCCTACAAATGTGACATTTGCGGCAAAGCCTTTAGTCAGCCCGCTGGGCTGTGGATCCACAAGAAGCACCAGAGTTGCTTGAAACGAAACTCTTCTAGCGAAAGTCGCGCCGAAACTGATGAACAAGGTGGGAAGGAAAAAAGTAGTGTTGAAAAACGGCACGAGTGTGATATCTGCAACAAACGCTTCTCGCAAAAACATTTGTTAAGTTATCATATGAGAACGCACACTGGCGAAAATCCTTATCCATGTACAACATGTGGCAAAACGTTTCGGGGAGCAGTTACCTTAAAGTACCATGAAAGAACACATACTGGACAAAAGCCTCACACTTGCATTTTCTGTACGAAGTCGTTTACTCAGTTGGGACCACTGAGGGCGCATTGTAGAAAAGAACATCAGTCAGACAGGATTTATGAATGTGATGTTTGCAAGGAAAAATTCGAGAAATTTCTGGAATTATCCTCACACAAGAAAACACATTTGGAAACTTGTACTGACTCTCAATGTGGAGATGTTGGTATATCTAATACTGAGCGTGTGAACGCTTCGATTCATGTAACAAACGTTTGTTGCCAAAATTTAGATAAATTGAAGAAAATAGACCAAGATTCCGATCCAGATGCAGTCAAAACTCCCACAAGCAGTAAAAGAGATGCACCCGAACCTAGTAGCGAAATTAACAGCAAAAAAAGGAAAAGAAAGGTTCAGGCCAAGTCTTCTCCTCGTCGCAAGATTCGTTTAAATAAATCAGTTGGAGAGGCCGTAATCCGAAGCTATACAGAAGGAGAAAACTGTCCTGGTTAAAGAGAAACTATCGACAATGGTTTCCGAAAAATTAAAAACGATTAATTACAGAGACTTGTCTTTTCCCAATAGTCACACGCCAGCGATACATCAGAATGAAAAAAACAGTTTGAATGAGCAGACTCATAAATGTGATGTCTGCGGCGAAGAGTTCCCCGAAGCAAACGTGCTGCAGAATCATGCCATAACTCATACTGAAAAGAATCCTCTTAATTGTACGGACTGCAACAAGTCGTTTCGAACACCAGGCTCATTGACTGTTCACCAAAGGACTCACAACGGGAAAAGGCCTTACAAATGTATTTTCTGCCCACAGGACTTTACGCAAAGGGGTGCTCTGCTACAGCACTGTAGACGGATACACAATACAGACCAAATTTACGAGTGTGACGTTTGCAATGAGAAATTTGAGAAACATCGGGACTTGTTATCCCACAATCATACCCTGTCCGATGCTCCCTGCACAATGGCAAAACGGACGTACATGTATGAAAACACTGATTTTGATGTAACATTTGAAGACGATGAAGAAAAAACGGGAGATGATGCAGTTTGTTCTCCGTTATCTTCGTCCAATAAAAATGGCGATTCAATTCCAGAAAATAATCATCAAGTGTCAGCGAAAGCTCTTGTATTGTTACCAATGATGATAACAAAAAGAATTGTGCAAAATCACCTAACTTTATCTACCAAGAAGACGAATTTTCTCGGCAAGATGATTACGAAAATCGGTTTACAAGTCCTTCTAATTCTGTTTGTATAGAAGTAGAAAATATAGATATTCCCGTCTCGAAGGAAGATTATGATAGTTATGACAGCGGAATTTCCCCAGACACCTCACCGTTCGATGTCAATGTCAAATGTGATGAACCCCCCAAACAGTTGATGTACGAAGTATCCATGCAACCGATTAAGCCTTGCTATAAGGAAAACAATTATCACCAAATTATTGGAATGGGGCCTTCTAAAACCATCAGCAGTAGGACGATTCCTTCTCAACAGAGTCAAAACTTAGCAGACGGGATCGTGAAAGATTGTTTGAAAACAGTTAATAATGAGGACGAATCTGATGATCATATTTCTTCAAATTGCTCCAGAGTGACAACGCCTGACAATGTTTCCTTATTTCAAGAAAGCCCTGGCAGTAATCACCAAAACTTTTGCTTGTTTGATGAAACGTCAGATATGTCTTTGCAATTCCACAATGAAAGGAATATGTTTACAGCCCAACCTCTAAACCTTAGAAAACGAAGTTTGATGGAGGGTAACATCAGAAATTTTTGGCAAAGGAATGATTGCGTATCTGGTATTGGGTGTGATAGAGGTCGAAATTTGCAGAACAACTCAACTCAAATTGGATCAACATCGGAGCTACCAGGCTGTTCGAACATAAGTTCCAACGAGTCTTTGTGGTGACAGCATAATATTATGTCAAAGTATTAGGATCCTCTAAGTTGCTTCGTGTAAGAATTTTCAATGAGAGCATCAAATCATTCAAATGATAACTGCCATAAGCATTTTAATTTTTCTTTGCCCAAATTCCATCTCCCGTTCACCAACTGTCCTGTTTCAAAATCCTCAATAATCTGCTTGACTGATCACAAATATATTCTACAAACTTCCTTCTTTAGTTATTCGCCTTTTTTCTTTCGATAGTAAGGTTTTTATACTTTTTCTCCATATGATAGAGGTGTTCTTATCTTACATTTTAATCGTATCGCCTCAAGGTTGGGGACAAATTATCGCAAAATGTCAAAGATCATTACGAACTTTTTTAGAACCGATTCGAAATCACCCGATTAAGCTAAACCAAGCGTTTTCATAGCCAATTTAGTTTGTTTCATCGTTTGTAGAATTTAGTGCCCGATCCGGCGCAAAGCGTCGAGTGTACTGACTCCGCTGGGTGATTCATTACACCCTGCTATTTAAACAGAACATGGCCGAGTCCAAAGTCGTCCAAATTCTATGTAATGGACGGTCGACGTTTGACATGTTTGTTAGTTTTGCGCATGCGCGAAATTTAAACGAGTGAAGACTGAAGCAACGTCCTAATTCGATAAGGAAAAAAGTTTGTATTTCTGAAAGATTTTTCTTAAAAGATTAAAAAGTTAATCACATCGTAAATTACTATATATTTAATGGTCAAAGAGTGCCTAAACTATATTACTTAACTGACTATGTTGAATTCTCGAACAGTGCAAAGCATGCTAAATGTTGTAACCTAAGAAATTGCGTAGCCTAAGAAATAAAAGATTTCTCTTGCGAATCATTCATTATTGTGTTTTAATTTATTCCTAAAATGACATGCACACACGTTAATTAGCACATACCCTTCGGCATATTTCTACCCTTATTTCACAAAGGGAAGTTGTGTTATGTACAAAAAATAGTACGTACAGGACGCACTAATTTAATTAATCTATTCATATATTAAGTGAGTTAATAAGGGGAAATGTTGCATCAATCCCTTTCGTAAACTTTAATCAAAATGAAAGATATGGAATCAAATAAAATTATGCAAAAGCTGGGAAAAGATTATCAGAAGAACACAAAAACAGTCAGTGGAATAGGAACGACTCGTAGTTTATAATCCTTGAAATGGTAGTTGTCTTTTTTTATTTCGTGTTTGCTCCTGTATATACGTATCATAATGAATTAGCTTTTGGATTCATTCCTAGCGACGAAAACCCACGAGAATCCAAACGTTTGTTGACCACAAATCCACAATCTCTTGAGCCCGAGGGATTATATATTTGGAAGTACATAGGTTTTACATATATAGGAAGTACATAATATAGGAATTATACAATCACAAAATATAATTTTCGACAAAACGATTTTTTCTCATGATTCTCATTTAGCCTTCGTACGGCCCTGAACAGCAACAGTAATTGGGACCACAACCGCTTGAATGGCAAGAATGGTAACGGTAAATTGCTAAGCTGTGGGAGACTGGCGCTATTAATATAGGGTTATATAGGGTTTCAATTGCACGTGACGTCAGAAACATAATTGTAATTTAAGACGAGGGTGTGGGGAGTTATAAAGCAGTGAGTGTGTGATAGTAAAGTGTGATGTGAGCAGCCCGTGCGCTGATTGGGATTTTCTGTTATTTAAATAAATATTATAAAAACTTGTGATTGTGTCGAAGATTACATATTGGCGAAGGCAACATTTTCGACATAGTGGTACCTCCGACGGGATAGCGTTACCGTCTAGTTTAAAACATCCTTTCTGGGGAAGTGTACAACGTATGAGAGTATGGGAACCGTGGATTTGGATACGAAGTTGACGCAGCTGAAGATTACAGTAGAAAGAACGAATAACATACTGGACTCAGGTAAGAGAGTAACTATTAAACGGCATCTTGAGACGATACAAGCTATTGCGAAGGACGCAAACCAGTGTAAAAACATTGTCGAAGCGACAAAGATTGCCGAGAAGGCAGAACTCTCTGAAATTAGCGAATGGAGCAATGAGATTGATGCTAAGCTTGAAGCAGCAGACGCGACGGTGGCTGAGCTTGAGGAATGGCTCGCGAAAAATGAGCAGGCGCAAAAGCTTGTAGCTCAAGAGGAGCAATTTAGATTCGAAATGGAACTGCATGAGAAACGTTTAAAAATGCAAGCAGAACTTGCCAAAATTTCAAAACCTCGACCGGAAATACAGGAATGTGAGAACATAACTCAAAAAATGGCCAAACTACCAAAGTTGGTTATCTCGAAGTTTGAAGGTTCATTTATGGATTGGCCCAGGTTCTGGGGCCAATTCACCGAAGCTATCGACAAAAGCTCTATCGCTCCGATAAGTAAATTCACTTATTTATGCGAACTTCTCGCTCCGAAAGTTAAACGTTGTGTAGAAGCTCTCCCATTCACGCCCGAAGGTTATAACCGCGCAAAGGCTGTTTTGCAGGACAAATACGGCAAGGAGCCCGAGATTGTTAAGTGTTATGTCAAGGAAATTCTAGATTTACCACAAATTCCTAGTTCCAATTCGCGTAAGATCTCAGAGTTTAGTGACACGTTATCACATTGCGTGCAAGCGCTCGAGACTATGGGCAAACTTGACCAAATAAACGGCAATGTCTCTATGACCCTGGAAAAGTTATCGGGAATTCGGGGGGATTTGGTCCGAACTGATCCAGAATGGGAAACGTGGGACTTTATTAGGTTAACTGAGGCTATACGACAATGGGTAAAACGAAATCCAGTTACGTCTAGCGAGAGAGATCGAGACGATAATCGAAAGAAGTTCTTTCATGCTCGAAGCGACGAATACAAGCCTAAGGGTTGTGTATACTGTGGGGACCCGGGGCATAAAGCTAACCAGTGTACTAACGTGACAACAGTAGCTGAGCGAAAAGCGATTCTGTCCAAGAAAAGGCTGTGCTTCAATTGCGCGACAAAAACGCACCGCGCCTCAGAATGCTCTAGCAAAGTGTCCTGCGGCAACTGCAGCAAACGTCACCACACGTCAATTTGCGACCAGACGAGCGACAAAGAGCAGAACGAGAGAAAGTTGTTGACAGATGGAGGAAGTGGTGATGGCATTTTTCCGGTTGTTGTCGTGAAAGTCAATGGCGTTACTTGTCGAGCATTGATTGATTCTGGCGCCGGTGGCTCGTACGCGTCTGCGAAGTTAATCGAAGCCCTAAAGTTGAAGCCAAACGAAACGAGATTGCAACGAGTCGACATGTTAATGAGTACGAAGACCTCACGAATGGAGATGTATGACACCTCGGTGTCCTCGATCGACGGAAGTTACGTCATGAACGTGAGATTGACGAAGGTCGGTAAAGACGAACTATTATCGATCAATAATCCAGGATACGACAAGCTAATTAAGCGTTATCAACACTTGAACGCAGTACAGATAAACGACAGCGACACGAAGAAGGAATTTCCGATTCACGTCATACTTGGAAGCGGGGAGTACTCTCGAATTAAGACCAGCACCAGGCCCCTCGTAGGAAACGATTGCGAACCAGTGGCGGAGAAAACAAAGCTCGGGTGGTTTATCATGAGCCCTGGGGTCGAGTTCGACAAGAGTACGATGCTGCTGACCCAGACATCGCAGGCCGATTTCGAGGATCTCTGTAGGTTAGACGTGTTGGGCCTTGCAGATACAATGGAGAATGACCAGGACCTTGTGTTTGGCGACTTTAAAGAACAACTTGTCAGAAATCCGGGGGGTTGGTACGAGACGAACCTACCTTGGAAGCCCAACCATCCACCTCTACCAACTAACGAGACTGGAAGCCTGCGGAGACTAAACAACTTGATAAAGCGACTAAAACGCGACGGAGATTATCAACGTTACGACGACATTATCACGGAACAACTTGAGCAAGGAGTCATTGAACCAGCGCCAGCGAATCCTACAGGCAACGAGTTCTACATACCACACAAGGGCGTAACGAAGAACACAGCCGAAACAACCAAACTTAGGATTGTATACGACGCCTCGGCAAAGGAATCGAACGACAAGCCTTCGCTGAATGACTGCTTACACCCTGGCCCTCAACTTCAGAACCTACTCTGGAGCGTTCTTGTCCGGTCGCGATTCTACCCGGTACTACTCACCAGTGACATCCAAAAGGCGTTCTTGCAAGTGAGGATTAAAGAACATGAACGAGACGCATTGAGATTCCATTGGAAGGCTCCTGAAAACAATGAAGTTCACATCTACAGGTTCACAAGAGCGTTGTTTGGGTTGACCTGTTCCCCTTCCTGCTTGGTGGTGTGATTCACGAACACTTAAAGATGTGGGAGGGGAGATACCCAGATGTGGTCAAAGAAATCCGTGATGGGCTGTATGTAGACGACCTCATGACGGGGGGTGCAACTGTTGAAGAAGTCAACGATAAGAAGATGAAGACAAGCGAAGTTTTCGAAGACGCCACCTTTAAACTGCACAAATGGCACTCTAACGTCGAAGATCTTGAAGAAAGGACACCAGTGTTGACACATGACGGGGAAGAGACAACCTTCGCGAAGCAGCATCTCGGAGTCGAGCAAACGGAAACGAAATTACTTGGCCTACCATGGGACAAGAAGCGAGATACACTCAGCGTGGTGGTAAACAAGGAGGAGTTCGCGAATACCAAAAGAATAGCTCTATCACAACTGGCGAAGGTTTACGACCCGCTCGGCTTGGTATCACCTGCTACGGTTGTTGGAAAGATGTTGTATCGCGAAATCTGCGAAACCCATCTTGCGTGGGACAGCGAACTCCCAGAGGAATTGAAGAAACGTTGGATGAAATGGTACTCGCAAATGCCAGAACACTTCTCGGTTCCGCGATCGTTAGCACCACGTTATCAACCAGTGTTGTCAATATCAATCCATGCATTCGGAGATGCAAGCAAGAATGGGGTGTCTGCCGCCGTGTATGCCGTGGTTGAACAGCAGGAAACGACGACACAAGGGTTAGTGTGTTCCAAGTCTCGACTGGCGAAGCGTGATCTTACGATTCCACGTTTGGAGTTGGTAGCAGGGCACATGGCAGTCAATCTTGGGTCTAATGTCGAAAGAGCAATTGGCGTTGAGAAGGTATCCGAGGTACATTGCTGGTTAGACTCCACCGTGGCATTGTACTGGATCAATGGCCAAGGCGAGTACCGTCAATTTGTCGCCAACAGAGTGAAGAAGATCCAAGAGCACGAGCGCGTTAAATGGCACCATGTTCCCACTCATGAGAATCCAGCAGATCTTGGGAGTCGTGGGGGAACAATCGACGAAAACGAGCTTTGGCAGCGTGGACCAGCATGGCTTAGTGATCCAAGCAGATGGCCCCCGCAAGTGACGCTCACAGCCGACGAAAGGGTGAAAGAGGAAGCGAAACGAGAGCGGAGTCCCCAGGTCCTGACGACATCTAATAAATCTCTAGATAGTTTCGACGAGCTAATCAACAAATTCTCTTTACGGAAAACCCTGAGGATTGGAGCATGGATCCACAGATTCCTTACGAACTGTAGAAGTCGAACTGACAAAGTGAGTGGCCCACTCAAAACACAAGAGATCGAAGTGCAAAACTTATGGTGGATCCAGAAAACCCAACGCGAAGCACAACGCAGTGGGGAAATTGCTAAAGACAAGATACAACTCAACCTACAACCCAACGCATCGGGAATCTTGGAGTGTAGAGGAAGAATCGAAGGGGAATACCCGATATACTTGCCAGAGAATCATGTATACACGAAGAAACTTGTGGAGAAGGCGCATCTTTCCACACTCCATGGAGGAGTAGCCACAACCATGTCCAAAGTTAGAGAGCGTTATTGGATCCCAAAACTACGACAGCTCGTGAAGAGAATTAGGAGGAAGTGTTACGGGTGTATTAAGTTTCGAACCCAAGCCTACAACAACCCACCACCTGGAAACCTCCCACCTACCCGAACTGACGGCTCTGCACCATTTCAAGTCCTCGGAGTGGACTTTGCTGGCCCAATTCAGTACAAGACGAAAGCGAACGCAGTCAGAAAAGCCTATTTGGTCCTGTACGGCTGTAGCTTGACAAGAGCAGTGCACCTCGAGCTGTTGAGATCTCTGGAAGTTTCGGAGTTCCTACCGAGTCTAAAGAGACTTATAGCACGACGCGGACGTCCTGAGATAATATATTCGGACAACGCAAAGACCTTCAAAGCTGCGAAGAAGTGGTTGAGCAAAGTATAAAAGGAAGAAAGTCTACACGCGTTCCTGACAGATCGGTCAATCAAATGGAGATTCAACCTCAGTCGGGCCCCCTGGTGAGGGGGGCAGTTTGAACGGCTTATTGGGCTATTCAAGCGAGCCTTTTACAAAACCATTGGGAACGGCAACCTAAAATGGGAAGAACTGAGCGAGGTAATCCTTGATATCGAAGTGGCACTCAACAACAGACCGCTGATGTATTTAGAAGATGATATCGAACTACCCGTCCTCACCCCTAACACCATGTTAAACATCAACCCAAGCGTTTTACCCGAGATTAGAACTCACCTCATCGACGAAAAGGACTTACGCAAACGAGCCAAATTTCTCAAGAAGTGCAAAGAAACTATGTGGAGGCGGTGGTCAAGAGAATACATTAGAAGTTTACGTGAACGTCATCGACAGGTAAGCCAGAAGAATATCTCACATCCCAAAGCCGGAGACGCCGTGATCATTCAAGACGAGAAGAAGAACCGAAACCTGTGGAAATTGGGGATTGTGGTCGAGCTGATAAGAGGCCGTGATGGAGTTGTACGTGCGGCCAAGGTGAGGACAACTAACGGTTGCCTCGACAGAGCCATCCAGCACCTGTTTCCTATGGAGTTGTCTTGTGATGAAGTCGAACCAAAGAAACTGGATCCAACTGCACCGGCATTTGAACCAAGACCAAGACGAGACGCCGCCGCAGCTGCGAATGTTAGGATTCAGCAGACAGCAAGAGAAGAAGAAGAGAACTGATAAATTGACTTTGTTACAAATAGTCGTTCGCACTAATTAAACTTTAAAAATACATTTATATAGACAGTTAGGTTCGGAACAACATGACCGATTCCAGGACAATAGTTTACTTGATTATTTTGCTGATTTCGCACAAAGTTAAGCCAGTCTCGATTAGTGACATATACCTTGATTCCAAGCTATATGGGGGAGTGTGTGGGAGACTGGCGCTATTAATATAGGGTTATATAGGGTTTCAATTGCACGTGACGTCAGAAACATAATTGTGATTTAAGACGAGGGTGTGGGGAGTTATAAAGCAGTGAGTGTGTGATAGTAAAGTGTGATGTGAGCAGCCCGTGCGCTGATTGGGATTTTCTGTTATTTAAATAAATATTATAAAAACTTGTGATTGTGTCGAAGATTACATATTGGCGAAGGCAACATTTTCGACAAAGCCAACTTTATTCACATCTGTGTCAGCGTTCTTATTGTCAGCCAACGATGGACGGCCCTTGTAGACATGAAGTGATTCCACACATTTTGAATTAAGCAGCCTAGAAATTTAGCGAAAAAATATATAATAATTAGTAGCATGATAAAATTTCTTGGTGCTGATTGGTCGGGAGGCCGGAGTACAGCTGTCGATCGATTTTTATTGCTAAATATCAAATTATTTCTCTAGGGTGACTAAATTATTTAGAACTTCAGATAAAATAATGATGTATACTCGAAAGCAAAAAGCTGATAATGTTAAATGATTCATTTTCGTCGATCATTTCTATTTTTCATACAGCGACGCCGGAACTGGAAGACCGAGCAAGGCCACTAGCCCCTGCCCTTTGTTTGTATTCATTGGTTCTCGGCGTTTCTTACTTGTTAGGATTCCAGATTTTGGCTTCCTTTCTGACTTGATGCGAAGTACACAGACTATGACAATTTTGTGTGTTAGATGAAGTACAAGTTCGACGAACTGCGAAGTACAGACTTCCAGTGTTTCCCATCGCAACACAAGCGCTTGTCGCCATTTCATCCAGGTAATTCTCAAAATACGATTTGAAACCGCGTTTCGCTCTCGAGTGTACTTAAAAAAATGAGAAAAATTTTAGTCATGTATTAATTAGGGAGCTCCTGTTAGGTTGAGTCTAAACCCACTGGCACTGCAGCACAAAACTGGTCTGAAGTACATTTCATGCGCATGCAGGGCAAAATCGTAAGCATTGAGGGAATAAGATTTAATTACGTAAATAATAGTAAAGATATATAGATACATCATCATTTCATCAATTTCGTTCCCAAATAGCAAATGCTTGGAATGGAAGCTCTATTGTCATTGTCTGGAGTGAACAGAGAAATTAACTGTTTAGAGCACGCCAATGTGGCCATGAACATATTTTTACTAACCTTCAGCTTGAGGTGCGGCATCGACCAACAATAACGAGGCCACAGCAAGCAAAACGGTAAAAATGGTCAGGTATCCTTTCATGGTTCTGGTCACTTAACAATTATAATAACAGGATTTGATGCACGGAAGAGTGAGCACTATACTGTTTTTGGTTTTGACACAAACTTTCACATATATATTTACAGCAAAGAGCTGTACAATTTGTTCCTGGTGGAAGCAAACAGTGACTATATATATATATATATTAATAATTGGGCCTATTTTAGTATAAAGTTAAGGCCCATTTGCACAATGCGATTTGTAGTATACGATTCGTACCCTGGCGTATGTGAACGTGTGAACACACGTACAAACGACACTCTTAATCCCTTCCTGGGCCAAATTGAATGAAGATGTGGCATAGGCCCTCTTTTGCATTCGTCAGAATGATATATAATTGCATACAACTTATCGTGTATTCTAAATAGGTCTTTAGGTGATGAAACGCACTTCATAGAAATACTAAGTCAGTTTTGGGCAATCATTTAGGGGATAAATTTAAAATGATTTAAAATAATTTACTCCTAACTCGTTCTCTTCTGAACCAGAGACAGTTCTTAGCTGCGCGTACATGCATGAATTATATGGCGCGAAACGACATGTCTATAATTTCTGTGTTTTACGCGGAGTTGGTATTTTATTAGCGTTTGACGTGATTTACTGATTATCATTCAGGCATTGTCGCATTTTTAGTTTAAAATATACATGATCATGCATGCTATAAAGAACGCATAAACGTACCTGCAAGTTTTCAAAGGCGAGATCCTCCAAGCTTAGAACAAATGTGAATTGAGTGAATTGCTGAAGAACCAGCGCTTTTATTCCAAGGGGGGAAATTAGCCAGAAGAGGATCTTAGACGGGAGGATGTTCTTGTTAGTTCGCAATATATTCGTGGCATAAGTATAAGCCAGAGTAATTTCCAAGTGCGTCCGGTTTCTTCAAGTGAATCTATGTTATCGTCTTCGGGGCGCCGTTTTTAAAATATATTGTTATTTACCATTTATTGTGTTTGTTCTGGCGTTATTTAGACCTATATACAGGGTGTCCCAAAAAAAAGTCCCCGCTATTGAAATGAAGCTTTTGTTGGAATTTGAATGCATGATCAACGCAGTAGTGTGTAAATAGCATATTTATTAGGTTGAGGCATTCAAATAAAGCGTCTTGCTTTCAATTGGGTTTATCATAATATTAAGGCAATCAGATTCGAACAAAGGCTTGATTTCAATAGAGGGGACATTTTTTTGGGACACCCTGTATAATTCTTGTATGGTTCCGAAAAAAAATTGTTATTTATAGCTAACATTTCCGACATAATGGCTACGCTATAAATCCCAACCGGATATAATAAATCGCAAGTGGGATACAATAAATGCGTAACTGCATGTATAATCCGCTACCATTACAAGTATCATTAAACATAGCTCTTGTAAACAGGGAAAATAACGAGCAAGCACGAGCTTAATTCTATACGCATGTCCCACAAATCAACGCAAATGAAATAAAAAACCCAAACAGGAACAGTTTTGCCAAGGAGGAACTACATATTAAATAGTATACGATGTAAAACAAGGCCTTAACTAACAATATTCTTTTGTGCTTTATAAACTTTCACCAACATGCATGTTTTCCCCAAAATGTTAATTTAATTTAGTATAATTATAATGAGTCATATGAGGGAAGGTTTAAAAATATTAACCTGTTTGATTGAGTATATATATTAACTTAAAAGAGTTATTACATTATATTATGTTTTTTATATTCTCTGATGTTTAAATTAGATTTTGATATAAAGCGTGAGGTTTTTCATGCAGTTTTGACCGAGTTATCACGGTTCAATTTAAGTATGCATTTTCCAAAACTCAAAAGTGTAAAAATTAGCTAAAAATGGCATATCAAAGTAGTGAGTTGACAAATCCTAGTATTTTATCGCACGTACTCGTCTGTTTCAATGAAGTTTAAATACATTTGACAGATGCATGGATAACGTCTGTGTTATGATTTGTTGAAAAGCGTTAAAACAAAAATTGACTATTTTGGTTTTGACTTTGTTCCAAATATTTCATGTCCCATGGGAGATAAAATTGGTTCGGAAGCGCGCAAATTTAACAAACAATTTCGCATGAATTCTGCTTGTTCTTTTATTAATATGCCTCGCTTAACGATACAACAGCGAGTCCGGGTTTGCACAGAATGTGCCAGTTAGGGTTAACAATGCTCAAGAAATCATATGATAAAAAACGTTGAAAACGCTCATTAATATCTTTTCTTATTTGTTATACCATTTTTGACTAATTTTTGTATATACTCTTCAAAAATACGTACCTCAAAAAACGCCGATATCTCGGGGAATACTGTATGCAAATACACATGGTACATACCAATTTTTAAGTTAGACATTCACGAATCTAAAGAAAGTTATTTCAGTGTAACAGGCCTCTTAGTTTTAAAGTTATACTCAATTAAGCAGATTGACTTTTTTTTCGCCACCCACACACAAAAAATAGGTGTGTAGAACACACCAATTAAGGTGTGTTTGACAGCACCACAAGGTTTGCTCAATTGCACGAATATATGTTAGGAATCTGAAATATATTACAGAGCGAAACGTCACCCAACTGTCACCAGGCTTGTAAATTATCAATATCCGGCGAATTACGCTGTGTTCAAATTAAGCTTACTCGCATTCATATACTATTTGAGAATGAGCATGTTGCTTAAAAATTCTGTTGTTATTGATTAATGTGAAAGTTATTGTTTAATCAATTAAAAGATTTAATGTAAAACACTGTGAAAATCATGCTCCTATATAGACTTATAGTAGAGTGGAAATAACTAACTCTCCACTTATAAGTTTGAGTGAGAGACTCAGTGGACGCTTCAAGAATGCAGGCGTTATACCATCTCCGATGCATGCGCATGCCTGTTAGTAATAATAATGATTTACAATTCAGTTCTTTAGACGAAAAAAAAACCATGCCAAGACCCTTGTTGGTCCATATGTCAAATTTTTGTGGTAAACGAGAGTTTAGCACAGGAAATTTCATGCCAGGGGATGTTAGCCATAATAAGAATCCTCAACACATTAGAAATAGTAATAATTAGGCAATAAGCGGCATGTATATGCATGGTAAAGCTGTAAAGGGGCTTATTTCCGGAGACTCATCTTTCAGTAAAATACTTGATATTCATACTGATAACAAGATGCTTGCTAAGCGCGTACTTCGAGCTAAAGGAGTATTTTTGTTTAGGCTGGGATAAAGAAAGATTGCATTAATTTGCATTAATTTGCACCACTTGCGAGTAACTATTAATCGTATCCTCCCTTGATATATAATATGCATGTGATATGAGTCCCTGAAACAGGTCCAATAACTGAATTAATAATTTGATTAAGTTGATTAAGTTCAACAACACGGGAGGATGTTGTTGTTAGCTTATTTCAAAGAATTAAAAGAGAAAAAAAGCAAGACATAAACCAATAATTTCAAAGTGCATCCGATGACTTCAAGTGACTGGACGTGATCGTCAATCAATAACACGCACTAAACATAGGATGAAATTATACTATTATACCTCGGATACCAAAGCCTTCCCGGGTATAATTGCAGACTTTTGGTGCTTTTATTGTGTAAATGACTTACTACAAGTTCGTTTGACATAATGTTAACATAAAAATGATAAAATATAGACATTTCCTGTTTCGCAGCGCGCAATGCGCGACGGTAAAAGATTATCAAGGTCACTTTAATTACTCTAATATAAGTTCTGTTTTTCACTATTTAGTTTCAATTTATTCAGCATCAACCAGTTTCTAAATTCAAATATACATTTTTTCATACGAATCTTAGATGAAATCAATTCACCAGGATCATTTGTTTTGAATGCAATGTAAAGTTGTCCATCATCAGCAAAAAAGTGAAAACGGAGATCATGAGGCCTAGCCACATCTGCAAGCGGGTCATGGTGATTATACGCGTAATTTCAATTTCAAAAGGACTCTCTTGAAATCCTGTAAGTGTTTTGGCAGCATTGTATTTTAGGGGCGTAACTAGAACGATAATTGGGGGGGGGGGGTGAATATTCATATATTCAGTTCTGCCCGACGGATTTCTACTGTAAGCTATTGCAATTACAAAAAAAAATCCGTAGGGCAGAACTGGATTTATAAATATTCACCCCCCCCCCAAATTATCGTTCTATAGTTACGCCACTGATTGGATATAACCGTCTAATTATATAATATGTGCAAAATAATTATTGTGTTTGTTCTAGAGCGATCAATTCGTGACAATTGACAGGCTAACTTCGCCTAGCGATCTGTCATACGTATTTTAATTCTCTTTCACAGCAGTAAACAGAACTTCAAAGAGTCTGGTATGCTCAGCACATTTTATTCAATAATTCACTAATATTGTTCAATAATTGGATCATTTGGATGTAGCTATTTGCCCTTCAACGACACCAAATTAGACCCGCTTTAAATAACTGTTCATCATCGGGGATCCATTATATCTACAAGAAAAAGGATAGATCAGTAAAACTGCATGTGTGCATCGTTTTCGAAATATGCAAGAAATAATAACTATGTGAACGATACAAAGCGACATGTAGCTAAGAGACCGACCATTGATTATATCTGGGTTAGGGTTGAATTGAGAGAAAATCATGGGGTAGCTTAAAAAATAGCAAGTGCTAATTTGATGGAATAACTGAACGAATTTTTGAACCTGACCAGAAAATTGAATTGCAAATTTGCATTACCTTGAAAAGTGTGTAATTAATTTAGTTATATACACGTCTGCCGTAATACACAAAAGTATACAATATTTGCTTACTTCGATATATATATATATATATATATATATATATATATATATATATATATACATGTTCCGTACATTTTACAAGTTTCGCAGCCAAACCTGGCAATTTTACTAAAAGTTAATTTAGTATGCTCTTTTCAGAAATTTTTGTCGCTTAAATCAAAAGTTGGTCTATTATGAAAATTTTATAGCAAACACTTCTCGACGTTTCGACCTGAGGGCCTTCGTCAGGAGATACTAACTCTCCTAGCTGACGAAGGCCCTCAGTTCGAAACGTGGAGAAGTCTTTTGTCTAATTTAGGCAGTTGTTATACCACAGTTGATCACTAAGTTGTTTGAAGACGCTGCCACGCTGCCCCCTGGTTATATTATAGGCAATTTTTTTGTGTGAAACAAAGAGATCAAAGAGCCGTCTGTCCTGGAATGCAAATGAGAACATTTATATACAGTCGTTTTCATTCAGGTTGTCACCTGGAAATATATCAGTATATATACTTAAATGCATATATATTAAATATGAGAAAGAAAAAGAAAAAAGTGAACGAAATAACCCATGTTTAATGGTCGCGCAATTGATATTTATATATTTGTATATAATACTATACATATATTGTCATAGACAACCTTAATAATAACGACTGTATATATATATATATATATATATATATATATATATATATATATATATATATATATATATATATACTATATGTTTATCAATACACTTGTTATATATCCCAAGCATCAACAGAACCAATGACTATGGAGAAAGAAAGAAAGGTGACAGTTTTAAAAAATTTACAGGTTAGTAATTTTCACCATCATTGGTGGAATATTTTACTAACCGAGTAGATAACTTTCAAGCTGGCCAATTAAGTCACAAACTTTGTGAGTGGCGCAAACTCACTTCTGATTCGGAAGTTTTACAGACAGTCATGGGGGAAGAAATAGAATTTTCTTCCTTACCTCATCAACTTAAGGCACCAAAAGCGAACATATATTTTCCAGAGCTGAGCAACTTGTGATTGGACTGGAAATTAAAAAGCTTTTAAATAAAGGTGTTATTGTTCATTCTGCACACGAAGAGCATGAATTCATCTCACCAATCTTTGTAAGACCCAAACCTGATGGGTCATACAGGATGATTTTAAATCTAAAAAGTTTGAATAAACATGTAGTTTACCGGCATTTCAAAATGGATTCCATTTGGAATGCCATTAGGCTTATTAAACCTCAGTGCTATTACTGCTATATGGCATCTGTAGATCTAAAAGACGCCTACTATTCAGTGCGTGTAAGTGCCAAGCACCAAAAATATTTAAAATTCTGCTGGAATGGGGCATTGTATAAATTTACTTGCTTCCCCAATGGGCTAGCTCTTGCCCCTAGAAAGTTTACAAAGTTATTAAAACCAGTATACTCATTCTTAAGAAACAAGGGACATATTTCATCACCATATATTGATGATTCCATCTTGATTGGTAGCACTAATAGAGAGTGTGTATCCAATGTCATTGACACAGTAACAGTGTTAGACAAATTGAATTTTGTGCCTCATCCTGATAAATCAGTGTTTTTGCCAAAGCAAATAATTGTGTATTTTGGGTTCATTCTCAATTCTATAACAATTACTGTCTCGCTAACACCAGAAAAGGCAAAGAAGTTGAAGTCGGCAGTCATTTGCCTTCTTTCTTAGGATATGCTCTATAAGAGAGGTTGCTCAGGTTATTGGTCTGTTAATCTCTACCTTTCCAGGGGTTATGCACGGACCCCTTTATTTTAGAATTACAGATGGCGAAAAAGCTCAGGCCCTAAAACTTAATCACAATAATTTTGACACACAAATGCAGTTATCCAACAATGCAAAATCTGAACTGCAGTGGTGGGCAGATAATATAGAAACAGCAAACAATCTGAACTATAAACCAGAACCAAATGTGACTATGTGCACTGATGCCTCAAAAATTGGCTGGGGATGTGCAATTGAAAATCTTAAAACGGGAGGACTTTGGACTCTGGAAGAGAGCAAATATCATATCAATTATTTAGAGTTGCTAGCAGTATTTTTTAGCCTCAAAGCACATAAAAAACTTGTCCCAAAAAAGCATGTTAAAGTATTAGTAGATAATACTACTGTTCAAATTACCTTAAATAAAATGGGAACAAGCCACTCACCAACCCTGAACAGTCTTATCAAAACTATATGGGACTGGTGTTTTGCAAAATTAATGATGTATGGATCACAGTTGCCCGTATACCTGGTAAAGATAATGTTGACGCAGACTACGAGTCTCGACAAACTAGGTGTACCACGGAGTGGTGCCTAGACAAAGACATGTTTCACAATGCTTGCGCAAAGCTTGATTTTAAGCCAAACATTGACCTTTTCGCATCGCGTATAAATTACCAAGTTAAGCCCTACATGTCATACACTGCTGATCCTGAAGCAATAGCAGTTAACGCTTTTCACCACCCATGGGTTGAATATGATTTTTATGCTTTTCCACCATTCTGTTTAATTAGCCAGGTCCTACAAAAGATCCAAAAGGAAGAATCCGAGGTCCTAGTTGTTATACCCAAATGGCCAACCCAATCTTGGTGGCTAGTGGCAATCCGAATGCTGATACAGTCACCCATCATACTTCCCAGCACAACATCAACATTGCACCTCCCAAGCAACCCATTGGAGAAGCACCCTCACCACGAGAAACTAGTCCTACTTGTGTGTCACTTATCAGGGAACAGTTTGAAAACAGAGGCCTTTCGACAACAGCTAAAGAAGTCCTTGAAGCAGCGTGGAGAACAGATACGCGAAAACAATATGAAGGATACTTGGAAAAATGGAAACAATATTGTAGTGAACAGAATATCAATCCCTTTGCACCCACTGTTGAAGAAGGGATAAATTTTCTCGCAGACTTGTTTAAAAAGGGCCTTGGTTACAGTGCATTGAATACAGCACAGCACGTAGTGCTCTGTCCTCTATCATACTTTTATCAAATAACACCAACTTTGGAACACATACCCGATAGTTTGTCGTTTCCTGAAAGGGGTATTTGAAAGTCGACCATCCTTACCAAGGCACAATGATATTTGGGATGTTCGAATAGTATTAGACTACCTACGAATTCTTTAGCCAACCAGAAATTTAACCCTCAAAACGTTGACGCTAAAACTGGTCATGATTCTTGCTCTTACTTCGGCACAGAGGTGTCAAACTTTTAAAGCCTTGTCACTTGACAGTATGTCGTGCGCAGACGGGAAATATGTCTTCCATTTTGAAAGACTGTTAAAAACATCTAGACCCGGAAAACACCTGGCGCCCCTAATGGTTAAACCATATCAGCCAGATCCCACGCTTTGCCCATTCAAGCTTCTAACAGAGTATATCGAAAGAACGCGGAGTTTAAGAGGAAACTCCCGACAGTTGTTGATTAGCTTCCAAAAACCACATCAAGAAGTGAGTACAGACACCATCTCGAGATGGCTGAAAACAGTTCTAAAACTGGCCGGAATAAATGATTTTTGTGGTCACAGTACAAGAGCGGCATCGTCGTCAGCCGCAACTAACACATCTATTTCTATTGATACAATATTGGAAGCAGCTGGGTGGTCTAACGCTCAAACTTTTCAAAAATATTATAACAAAACATTACGGTTGGAAGAGGACTTTGGTTCATCGTTATTACAAGCTTTCACAAGTTAATTATGCATTCTAGTAAAATTGGAATAAAGTTACTTCGTTGTTTGAGTTCTGTGGTAAATTGTTATCACTCGTGATTACAACACTTTGAACATCTCACATGACTCCTTAGTGACGTAGTCCAAGGACGAAATAGAATTTAAAATTAAACGAGACTTACCGTAAGTTGAAGTTTGATTGTAATTCTATGAGTTCTTGGATACGGAAACTAAGGAGTCACCCGCCCATATTACACTGTTCCCTCCCTTTGAAGGTACTGTTGTAATCTCTCGTTGCGTTAAAAACTGACTGCTCGATCTGCGTGCGCATATCTCACATGACTCCTTAGTTTCCGTGTCCAAGAACTCATAGAATTACAATCAAACTTCAACTTACGGTAAGTCTCGTTTAATTTTAAATTTTCCAGGACGAGCTTTCAAAAAAAGTCTTAAGTCGTCGTGTTTTCCAAGACCAGCTAACTCGAGATCGCTTGAAGGTGAACCTAGTAAAGAATTTAAAATCATTACAATAATCAAATCATCAATCATGCATGCACTATTTAACAAATAAATAATGATTGAACCGTTGCCTGTTAATTGCTGCCGCAGCGAGCGAGCCTGAAGCGAGCGAGCAAGGCAGCAGATCCTAATTTAGAAATGGGGGCGCAAATCAAAATTTGTCTTTGGCGCATTGCATGACGGTACCAGTGGCAGGGATGGAGGAACATATTTTATTTTGGGGGTGGCTGAATTTAAGTTCCGGCCATAGTTGACACGCTGAGAGCATATGTTATGTAGCGTAAGAGAGAAATAATTAACATTCACCTGAACACAATGTAGGATATTTCTTTTGTATTTTAGCAGGCGAACAGCAATTTGACGACCTTATTGTTGACGACCTTATTGTTACACGTTTGTGAAATTCTTTCATGTATTTTGGGGAGGGCTACGATTTTTACCTTGCGCGGTGCGGTGCACGATACCACGTGTATGGTATGTTAATTCATATTGTGAATAAAGGTGAAAACGTGCTTTGGAACATTGTATTAGCGTATTCGGGTGCCAGTAGATTTTCGATATAAACGAAACATAATACTCTTGTCACCTGCGGTGAAAATTTTTGACGCATTGCATGTTGGAGTTCGGTGTCAGGTTATACCATTCCACGTGTTGGCTGCATAAACTTTGGCGAATTTATTTCGAAGAAGGAAAACTATTTCGGTGAGTTTTTTGTGATCAAGTTCATATTTATTCAATGTTTTATTCATATTTAACTGTTCTTTTATATTTTATAAGTTGATATTTTAGACAGAAGGTGAAATTTACGTAATTCTACGTTTTGGCTACATATTATAGTACTGCGAAGTATTAGAGGTATAAGGTATTTTGGTGAGTTTTTTACTGTCGAGTTCCTATTTATTCGATATTTTATTCATATTGTTAAACGATATACTTCACTATAGGCTTTTAGCCTTTTATGCCGAATTATGACTTAAATACTAGGATAGTGCATTTATTTGAGCGATCATTGAATATATCATTAAAAATTGCGTCTGTTTTGTTTGTTTAGCGCGCGGTGTTTATTAACTGTTCATTTATATTTTCCAGGTTGATATTTTGGTCCGAAGGTGAGGCTTCAACTCTTATATAATCGAGTCTTTGTTCTCAGTTGCATCAGTAATTGAATGCATTGATTTTTGAATTTTTGTCAGTCATCTGTCATCAGTTGCTGACTCTTCTGTTTTGTTGCTGTATTTGCGCCTCGTTTTTGTGTCTTGTTAAGACACTCACTAGATCATCAAAAGTTTATTTCATGTGTGTTTTTGTATCTCATTGGATTCGTCGTATCCGTTACAGCAAAAGATGATTGACACTGAAGAACTGCACTTAACAGAAACAACATTTTCATAACGTTTTGATAACTATATCGAGAGATTTAAAAATATAATTGACAAATTTAAGTTCTGTTGGGGGCTCCGTTGCATAAAAAACAATTTATTGATAGGTTTCGTAGAACATTTCTGTTCTGGAACAATATTGTTTTTGTCATTTTCCTTAAATAATGATAATAAGCTGAGGCTAAGCACTTTGTACTATATTTTATATTTCCAATCTCTTCTTGAACGTAAAAAAATTTTACGGTGGTTGTGATTTCTGTTCTTCTAAAAGTTTAATGTTTTCATTGCATGGCTTACTCACAGGCAGCACTCCCTACCCTATGGGTACCCTAGTTTATAGATACACGGTATGACGTATTTGTGATAAGAACTAAAAAAGTGGCGAATATTCTGTGACGTCATTCCATACGCCTGTCCTCTTATAGATCATGGCTCTCGACCAATGAAATTGCTTGAATTTTAACGTTATTATATAAAGCTTGGTTAATATTCCGTCTTATAGTTGTAATTGTAGGTTTGAAACCCTAACTTTGTTATCGTTATCGTATGTCGTTAATTTCCGTTTTGTTACTTCCTGCGACTACACGCGCAGCTGCACACAGTTTAATGTTTCATTGTATTGTATATCACTGTCAACTAGAGTATGGTCACTCTACTCTACAATTGGTTATTTACGTTTATGTTCGAACTCTATCGACGGTATTCAGCAGCAGTTTGGTGTGTGCGCCAACTAAAGTAAGACTCTATCTTTGTGTTATTATAGTTTGTAAACATATGTAGCTACGTTAGTTGATTTATTCGTATTTAGTGCATGCCTGTTATAGTATTTAATTTGCCTAGATTGCATGACTTAGTGCGGTTTAATTCTTGTATTTTTAGTTCGAACGTTACCCACTATATTTTCTATTCCGCAAACACTCTATACACGATATTCCGTTACCGGATCGATCAGTCACCATATCTTCAACCGCACAGTATTATAAACTTTATCATTAAAGATACATTTATAAACATCATCCGCGCACGTGTTATTCTATCATCGTGGTTAGTGAATTTAGTGGAGTTCAATTTGTGGCGTTAACGGCACACCAAAGCAGCGTAGCTCTTAGAAGAATTTAGGAGTTACAGTAATTATTATTATTATTGAGGTTTATTTAAAACTTCTTGCAGCATAAGCTGAATTGCAAGTTGAAAGGAGTAATATTACAAACATATTACATTTCGAACTTACTATCATACGGTTAAAAAGTCCAGGAGGAAAACTAAAAACGGTTCAATTCAGGTAGATCGATGATACCTTAAGGGTTCTACACTATATATAAAATATACTCACTTATCAATTGTATTTACAAGTTACGAAGTTTAAATACAATCACATCGTAAATTACTATATATTTAATGGTCAAAGAGTGCCTAAACTATATTACTTCACTGATTATGCTGAATTCTCGAACAGTGCAAAGCATGCTAAATGTTGTAACCTAAGAAATTGCGTAACCTAAGAAATAAAAGATTTTTCTCGCGAATCTTTATTCATTATTGTGTGTTTAATTTTGTCCTAAAATGACATGCACACACGTTAATTAGCACATACCCTTCGGCATATTTCTACCCTTATTTCACAAAGGGAAGTTGTGTTATGTACAAAAAATAGTACAGGACGCACTAATTTAATTAATCTATTCATATATTAAGTGTTAAAAAGGGAAATGGTGCATCAATCCCTTTCGTAAACTTTAATCAAAATGAAAGATATGGAATCAAATAAAATTATGCAAATACTGGGAAAAGGTTATCAGAAGAACACAAAAACAGTCAGTAAAATAGGAACGACTCGTAGTTTATAATCCTTGAGATGGTAGTTGTCTATTTTTTTTATTTGGTGTTTGCCCCTGTATATACGTATCATAATGAATTAGCTTTTGGATTCATTCATAGCGACGAAAACCCACGAGAATCCAAACGTTTGTTGACCACAAATCCACAATCTTTTGAGCCCGAGGGATTATATATTTGGAAGTACATATAGGTTTTACATATATAGGAAGTACATAATATAGGAATTATACAATCACAAAATATAATTTTCGACAAAACGATTTTTTCTCATGATTCTCATTACAAATTAAACATCTGCGATTTAAACGGAATGAAATTGTTCAAATTTTTTTAGCCTTCGTACGGCCCTGAACAGCAACAGTAATTGGGACCACAACTGCTTGAATGGCAAGAATGGTAACGGTAAATTGCTAAGCCAACTTTATTTACATCTGTGTCAGCGTTCTTATTGTCAGCCAACGATGGACGGCCCTTGTAGACATGAAGTGATTCCACACATTTTGTATTAAGCAGCCTAGAAATTTAGCGAAAAAATATACAATAATTAGTAGCATGATAAAATTTCTTGGTGCTGATTGGTCGGGAGGAGTACAGCTGTCGATCGATTTTTATTGCTAAATATCAAATTATTTCTCTAGGGTGACTAAATTATTTAGAACTTCAGATAAAATAATGATGTATACTCGAAAGCAAAAAGCTGATGATGTTAAATGATTCATTTTCGTCGGTCATTTCTATTTTTCATACAGCGACGCCGGAACTGGAAGACCGAGCAAGGCCACTAGCCCCTGCCCTTTGTTTGTATTCATTGGTTCTCGGCGTTTCTTACTTGTTAGGATTCCAGATTTGGGCTTCCTTTCTGACTTGATGCGAAGTACACAGACTATGACAATTTTGTGTGTTAGATGAACTACAAGTTCGACGAACTGCGAAGTACAGACTTCCAGAGTTTCCCATCGCAACACAAGCGCTTGTCGCCATTTCATCCAGGTAATTCTCAAAATACGATTTGAAACCGCGTTTCGCTCTCGAGTGTACTTAAAAAAATGAGAAAAATTTTAGTTATGTATTAATTAGGGAGTCCCAGTTAGGTTGAGTCTAAACCCACTGGCACTGCAGCACAAAACTGGTCTGAAGTACATTTCATGCGCATGCAGGGCAAAGTCGTATAAGCATTGAGGGATAAAATTTAATTATGTATAAATAATAGTAAAGATAGATACATCATCATTTCATTAATTTCGTTCCCAAATAGCAAATGCTTGGAATGGAAGCTCTTTTGTCATTGTCTGGAGTGAACAGAGAAATTAACTGTTTAGAGCACGCCAATGTGGCCATGAACATATTTTTACTAACCTTCAGCTTGAGGTGCGGCATCGACCAACAATAACGAGGCCACAGCAAGCGAAACGGCAAAAATGGTCATGTATCCTTTCATGGTTCTGGTCACTTAACAATTATAATAACAGGATTTGATGCACGGGTGCAAGAGTGAGCACTATACTGTTTTTGGTTTTGACACAAACTTTCACATATATATTTACAGCAAAGAGCTGTACAATTTGTTCCTGGTGGAAGCAAACAGTGACAATATGGGCCTATTTTAGTATAAAGTTAAGGCCCATTTACACGATGCGATTTGTAGTATACGATTCGTACCCTGGCGTATGTGAACGTGTGAACACACGTACAAACGTACAAACGACACTCTTAATCGCTTCCTGAGCCAAATTCAATGAAGATGTGGCATAGCCATAGGCCCTCTTTTGCATATTCGTCAGAATGATATATAATTGAGTACAACTTATCGTGTATTCTAAATAGGTCTTTAGGTGATGACACGCACTTCATAGAAATAGTAAGTCATGCAGTTTTGGGCAATCATTTAGGGGATAAATTTAAAATGATTTAAAATAATTTAGTCCTAACTCGTTCCCTTCTGAACCAGAGACAGTTCTTAGCTGCGCGCGCATGCTACAAACAACGCATAAACGTACCTGCAAGTTTTCAAAGGCGAGATCCTCCAAGCTTAGAACAAACCAAATGTGAATTGAGTGAATTGCTGAAGAACCAGCGCTTTTATTCCAAGGGGGGAAATTAGCCAGAAGAGGATCTTAGACGGGAGGATGTTCTTGTTAGTTCGCAATATATTCGTATTTATTCGTAGTTATAGAAACAAATCCAGGCATAAGTAAGCCAGAGTATAATTTCCAAGTGCGTCCGGTTTCTTCAAGTGAATCTATGTTATGGTCTTCGGGGCGCCGTTTGTAAAATATATTGTTACTTACCATTGATTGTGTTTGTTCTGGCGTTATTTAGACCTATATATAAGTCTTGTATGGTTCCGAAAGAAAATTGTTATTTATAGCTAACATTTCCGACATAATGGCTACGCTATAAATCCCAACCGGATATAATAAATCGCAAGTGGGATATAATAAATGCGTAACCGCATGTATAATCCGCTACCATTACAAGTATCATTAAACATAGCTCTTGTAAACAGGGGAAATAACGAGCAAGTACGAGCTTAATTCTATACGCATGTCCCACAAATCAACGCAAATGAAATAAAAAACCCAAACAGGAACAGTTTTGCCAAGGAGGAACTGTTCTTGTGGATCCCAACAACATCCCACGAGTCGATGGGTATGAATTGCGTAAACGAATGCCATCATAAACAAGACGCTTGCTAAGCGTTTATTCGAGCTAAAGGAGTGTTTTTGCTTGTGCTTTTAGCTTAATTATATATATTATGTGCGAAATATTGTGTTTGTTCCGGGGCGATCGATTCGATTATCATTTAAAGAGACTCTAACATGCAAATGATGCAATAGAAATAGATATTAAATAGTATACGATGTAAAACAAGGCCTTAACTAACAATATTCTTTTGTGCTTTATAATCTCTCACAAACATGCATGTTTTTCCCAAAATTTTAATTTAATATGATTATAATGAGTCATATGAGGGAAAGTTTAAAAACATTAACCTGTTTGATTGAGTATATAACTTAAAAGAGTTATTACATTATATTATGTTTTTTATATTCTCTGATGTTTAAATTAAATTTTGATATATAGCGTGAGGTTTTTCATGCAGTTTTGACTGAGATATCACGGTTCAATTTAAGTATGCATTTTCCAAAATTCAAAAGTGTAAAAAGTTAGCTAAAAATGGCATATTAAACTTGTGAGTTGACAAATCCTAGTATTTTATCGCACGTACTCGTCTGTTTCAATGAAGTTTAAATAGAGACATTTGACAGATGGATAATGTCTGTGTTATGATTTGTTGAAAAGCGTTAAAACAAAAATTGACTATTTTGGTTTTGACTTTGTTCCAAATATTTCATGTCCCATGGGAGATAAAATTGGTTCGGAAGCGCGCAAATTTAACAAACAATTTCGCATGAATTCTGCTTGTTCTTTTATTAATATGCCTCGCTTAACGATACCACAGCGAGTTCGGGTTTGCACAGAATATGCCGGCTAAGGTTAACAATGCTCAAGAAATCATATGATGAAAAAGTTGAAAACGCTCATTAATATCTTTTCTTATTTGTTATACCATTTTTGACTAATTTTTGTATACTCTTCAAAGATACGTACTTCAAAAAACGCCGATATCTCGGGGAATACTGTATGCAAATACACATGGTACATACCAATTTTTAAGCTCGACATTCACGAATCTAAAGGAAGTTATTTCAGTGTAACAGGCCTTCTAGTTTTTAAGTTATACTCAATCATACAGATTGGCTTTTTTTCGCCACCCACACACAAAAAACAGGTGTGTAGAATTACACACCAACGTGTGTTTGACTGCACCGCAAGGTGTGCTCAATTGCACGAATATATGTAAGGAATCTGAAATAGATTACAGAGCGAAACGTCACCCAACTGTCACCACGGTCACCAGGGGCCGGTTGTATCAAGCCCGTTTAGATAACACTCTTAGATCTCTCTTGAATGAGTCAACTTGAATATTATGCACTGAATATGTAGTTGTAAACAGTATCTTTGTATTAGGGTTAAAAACATTTAGTTTGCTTGTAGAATAAAGCGATAGACTTGCTTTCTATTTTGAACTTAACCACCGTTTAAGCTAAACGGGCTTGATACAACCGGCCCCAGGGTTGTAAATTATCGATATCCGGTGAATTACGCTGTGTTCATAAATTAAGCTTACTCGCATTCATATACTCTTTGAGAATGAGCATGTTGCTTAGAAATTCTGTTGTTATTGATTGACGTGAAAGTTATTGTTTAATCAATTAAAAGATTTAATGTAAAACACTGTGAAAATTATGCTCCTATATAGACTTATAGTAGAGTGGAAATAACTAACTCTCTAAGTTTAAGAGAGAGATTCAGTGGACGCTTCTAGAATACAGGCGTTATACCATCTCTGATGTCTATGAGTAATGATAATGATTTACAACTCAGTTCTACGACAAAAACCCATGCAAAGACCCTTGCTGGTCCATATGTCAAATTTTAGTGGTAAACAAGAGTTTAGCAGAGGAAATTTCATGCCAGGGGATGTTAGCTACTAAGAACCCTCAACAAATGAGAAATAGTAATAAGGCAATAAGTGGCATGTATGGTAAAGCTGTAAAGGGGCTCATTTCCGGAGACTCATCTTCCAGTAAAATACTTGATATCCCTACTGATAACAAGATGCTTGCTAAGCGCGTACCTCGAGCTAAAGGAGTATTTTTGCTTGTGATTTTGCCGGAGAAAGTTTATAAGTGAAAGCAGAAGATCGCATGGTATAGGCACTGCACAGCACAAGTTAGCTTCAAGCGAGGATCCAAGAATAGATCCTTGGGGGCACCTGCAAATGTTTGTTTAGGCTGGGATAAAGAAAGCAGAAGATTGAATTAATTTGCATTAATTTGCACCACTTGCCAGTAACTACAAATCGTATCTTCCCTTGATATATAATATGCATGTGATATGATAGTCCCTGAAACAGGTCCAATAACTGAATTAATAATTTGATTAAGTTGATTAAGTTCAACAACACGGGAGGATGTTGTTGTTAGCTTATTTCAAAGAATTAAAGGAGAAAAAAAGCAAGACATAAACCAATAATTTCAAAGTGCATCCGATGACTTCAAGTGACTGGACGTGATCGTCAATAACACGCACTAAACATAGGATGCAATTATACTATTATACCTCGGATACCAAAGCCTTCCCGCGTATAATTGCAGACTTTTGGTGCTTTTCTTGTGTAAATGACTTAGTACAAGTTCGTTTGACATAATGTTAACATAAAAATGATAAAATATAGACATTTCCTGTTTCGCAGCGCGCAATGCGCGACGGTAAAAGATTATCAAGGTCACTTTAAAGTTGCGATCTTCTATATTTACAGGTGATTACGCGTAATTTCAATTTCAAAAGGACTCTCTTGAAATCTTGTAAGTGTTTTGGCAGCATTGGATTTTAGGGGCGTAACTAGAACGATAATTGGGGGGGGGGTGGTGAATATTCATATATTCAGTTCTGCCCGACGGATTTCTATTGTAAGCTATTGCATTACAAAAAAAATCCGTAGGGCAGAACTGGATACATGAATATTCACCCCCCCCCCCAATTGTCGTTCTATAGTTACGCCACTGATTGGATATAACCGTCTAATTATATAGTATGTGCAAAATAATTATTTTGCTTGTTCTAGAGCGATCAAATCGTGATTAATTGACAGGCTAACTTCGCCTAGCGATCTGTTATACGTATTTTAATTCTCTTTCACAGCAGTAAACAGAACTTCAAAGAGTCTGGTATGCTCAGCACATTTTATTCAATAATTCACTAATATTGTCCAATAATTGGATCATTTGGATGTAGCTATTTGCCCTTCAACGACACAAAAATTAAACCCGCTTTAAATAACTGTTCATCATCGGGGATCCATTATATCTACAAGAAAAAGAATACATAAAACTGTGTACATCGTTTTCGAAATATACGAGAAATAATAACTATGTGAACGATACAAGCGGCATGTAAGAGATTGACCATTGAGTTATATCTGGGTTAGGGCTGAATTGAGAGAAAATCATGGGGTAGCTTAAAAAATAGCAAGTATCAATTTGACGGAATAACTGAACAAATTTTTGAATCTGACCGGAAAATTGAATTGCGAATTTGCATTACCGTAAAAAGTGTGTAACTAATTTAGTTATTATACACGTCTGCCGCGTAATACACAAAAGTATACAATATTTGCCTACTTCGAATGGATATATATATATATATATATATATATATATATATATATATATATATATATATATATATATATATATATATATTCCGTATACTTTACAAGTTTCGCAGCCAAACCTGGCAATTTTACTAAAAGTTAATTTAGTATGCTGTTTTCAGAAATTATTTTTGTCGCTTAAATCAAAAGTTGGTCTATTATTCAAATATTATAGCAAACACTTCTCGACGTTTCGACCTGAGGGCCTTCGTCAGGAGAGTTAGTATCTCCTGACGAAGGCCCTAGCTCAGGTCGAAACGTCGAGAAGTGTTTTGTCTATTTTAGGCAGTTTTATTTATACCACAGTTGATACTAAGTTGTTTGAAGACGCTACATTATTATAAGTATTTTTTGTGTAAAACAAAGAGATCAAAGAGCCGTCCGTCCTGGAATGCAAATGAGAACATATATATATATAAATATATATATATATATATATATATATATATATATATATATATATATATATATATATATGTGTGTGTATAACATGTGTAAATACATGTATAATATATATATATATATAATATATATATACAGTCTTTATCATTCAGGTTGTCACCTGGAAATGTATAAAAATACTTATATATATATGTATATATATATATATATACACTCGTTTGCAAAAACGTTGGCCGCAGATAGATAGATAGATAGATACTCGAAATCTAATTAGAATTGCATATGCTGTGTAATATGATTGAAATCCCATGCAAATGTAATCATATGCAATTCTAATTAGACTTCGAGTATCTATCTATCTATCTATCTGCGGCCAACGTTTTTGCAAATGGGTGTATATATACATATATATATATATATATATATATATATATATATATTATATATATAATATATAATATATATATATATATATATATATATATATATACACCCATTTGCAAAAACGTTGGCCGCAGATAGATATATAGATAGATACTCGAAATCTAATTAGAATTGCATATGTTGTATAATATTATAGAAATCCCATGCAAATGTAATCATATGCAATTCTAATTAGACTTCGAGTATCTATCTATCTATCTATCTGCGGCCAACGTTTTTGCAAATGGGTGTATATATATATATATATATATATATATATATATATATATATATATATATATATATAAAAATATATACTTTAACATTATGCCGATCTATAAGTGTATCAACGCTAATAGACTAATAAGAGAGACCAAAGAGAAACAAATAATTAGAACACTAGAACCTAATCTTAATGCATGCTAATTTTATCTTTGTAAATAACACAACTTTAACATAGTCACACTAAATAGGATGTATCATATTACACTATATGTAAGTAAACAAAATAACCACTGTCATCATTTATCACCTGAAGAGCTAAGAGAGCGAAAACGTTTGTGAATAAAGTGATATTAAAAAATACAAAGCAGTGGTTATGTTCTAATAATATATCTCTAGTTGACAAGCAACCTTTTTATATATATATAAATATATATATATATATATATATATATGTTTATATATATACACTTGTTATATATATATATATAGCGGACAAATCTTTTGCGTTAATTTTGCGATATGAAGGATAGTGCGATTTTTTAAGAGACGAGCATAATTTTATTAGTATTAGTTCTTTATATATTACAAATTGAAATAAACTATACCCAAAAAAATCAGTGTAATGACAGTCAACGAGAAATTTTCCAGGACGAGCTTTCAAAAAAAGTCTTAAGTCGTCGTGTTTTCCAAGACCAGCTAACTCGAAATCGCTTGAAGGTGAACCTAGTAAAGAATTTATAATCATTACAATAATCAAATCATGCATGCACTATTTAACAAATAGATAACATTCCGTCTAAATTCGGTCAAAAAAACGCCAGCCTATACTATCTCCTCGCGGTGCATGGCAGCACAGTTAATGGAGGGGGGATCACTATCACAAACAGACACACGCGGAATCCGAAATAGCGAAATATTGTTTTCCGCTAGTAGGGCAGCCAAAAAAGGCGCAATTACCCCCACCCATAACCACAATACGCCTCACATGACCAAAATATGAACAATAACATATTTTGTCACGCGGTACGCCTAGCCTAACCATCCCCTCTCCATTAACTGTGATGGCAACATGCTCAAATCCTGGACACATCTCCTTGCAAGTATGCATGCATGTTTATATAAAATTCTGACGATATTTGCTGCAATTTTCCGTGCGAATTCCTTCCTTTTTTACGAATGCGAATTCCTTGAGTTCCTTTTTTTACAAAAACCCGTTGTACCGACTGGCCGGGTTTAATATCGCGGAACGTTCAAACGTCCAGCCAGACGTTTCTCCGTTATTTTGAACTTTTGCCAGTCTCGTCGTTTGCCTTTCTGGCCTTTTTTAGTTCCTCTAGGTCCAGCGTTGTTTAGTTTGTATGCAAAAAACTTTCTGCCATTTTGTTTATTTTGAAAAACTATTAATTGTATGCTGCAATACAATAAAACCCGGCAATAAAATTTCCGCACTTCTCTCGATAATTAGCATCCGTTAATTTAAGATGCTATTATTGAAAGTGATTATTAGTTGCTATACAATTGTTATTATGTAATACCTCGAACAGCATAGTTCACAATTGATAGCGGGTGTGTATCCTCGACTAGCATGTAATCTCCAGGTTTCATGAACGGCTCTAAATGGCCCAGAGATTTTTCCAGGCGAACATGACAATCTTCGGAGATAAACCAAGGATGTGGTAACTCCTGTACATAAACAAAAGAATGGCCTCAGGAGAGCACAACATCAACATGAAAAAGCTGGATTGTTCGTCGATAATCGAGTAAATTCCCGAATTGCGCGTATAACAAAATGTCGGCTATTCAATTTTTTTCGTACTTGGAAATGAATCGAAGCAAATATTATATACCTTCAACATTTTCTCCGGGAGGACCTTCTCCACATCCTTCGAGACATCAGCTGTGATGAAAGTAATGTCATCTCTCTTTTTCGCTGTTTCGTGCAAGCATTCGGATGTAATGTCGAGAGAATAAACGTGGCTCTTCACACCAAAACATTTTAATGTGTCGGCATACCATAAGGCACATCCTCCTGCATAGCTGCCAAATTCGATGACTGTCGCGGGTTTTTCACGACCAAGCAAGTCTTGCAAAGTAACCAAGTCGACGGCGCTTTTCATAACTTCTACTCCATTCCACGTCGTCCGAAACTTACCTTATAAACAGCAAATGGAACATGGTAGAAATCAGGATTCAGAAGAATTGTTTACACTGGGAATCCGAGAGCACAGCTATATATTCCACTGTGGTAAACACGTAATTTAACATGCAGTTGCACGGTCCCTACAATCTGTTGCCAGTCGTAAAAATGCGTGTCGGCCATTTCAGGGTACCCATTACCCAACATCTGGGTAAACGCGAGGGTTTAAGCCGGTTTTCTAATAGGCGGAATTTTTTGATCGAAAGAAGTTTTTCGCTCGATTTTCTTTTCAATTGTGACCGGTAAAGTAAACTGCTAATGTCGAATTCACACAATTGAAAAGAAATCGAGCAAAAAATTCCGTTCGATCGAAAAATTTCTTCGCCTAGTGGAATACAGCCTGCGTGCAGACGTATGGGGAAATAAGTGGAATACCGCCTTTAAGGAATTTTTCGTTTGATATTCTTTTAATTATGAGAATTCAACCGTAGCGGATTCCTTTCACCGGTCAAATTGAAAAGAAGATTGAGTGAAAAATTTCGTTCGATCGAAAATTTCGCCTAGTGGAAAACCACCTTTATACCCTGGTACATGTTCTCAAATTATGCCCATGCAGGGTAAACACACGTTTACTATTTCCGGTAAATTGCCGCATGGCTAAGAAGACATTTCTGGCATTCATTGAATTCAGATTGTTTATTAATCTACCTCCTCCACAGGCGTTTCATAATACTGCGCGGGCAGCATTAGAAATGCGGGTAATGCGAAGAGAAACCAAACGAGTGAAAAGACGGGGAAACGAAGTTTCTCTTCGCATTACCCGCATTTCTAATGGTGCCCCGCTTTTTCCCTAATTTTCCCGCCCGCTCGCAGCATTATGAAACGCTTGCGGGGGAAGATAGTTGATTTACTTGATTAGTCTGTTGATTAATCGCCCCAGTCTGACAAGGTTGCACTAAACTAAAGCAAATGTCAGTAAACGTTTCGTCTCTCAATTCTATAAAGTTAAAACCACGCCGCTATAAGAGATATTTTAAAGGTTTTTGAATCAAAATTAATGAGTCAAAAATCCAAAGATAATAGTCTCAGTGTTAATGAGCTAGACTTCTATACTATAGTTTCCCGGAAATGTTCTACATATGAGTATATGAAGCGAAATAAGCGCAAGCCATCGCCAGCATGACTATGTTTACCTATATTTTACTACACAGGTAAACGGGGTTATGTAAACAGCCACGAAAATACACTTCGATTTACGAGAATATTCCGGTCATTCAAGGTTTATATTATTATATTTGGAGTAACTTATTCTGCATAAAATACGGAACGATCATGCATATTTCCATATCTATCACGTTTTGGATTAAACCAATAACTCACCAGTGCACAGAAATTTATTAATTTCGATTGTCAGAATGCTTCGGGTTTCTCGCTCCTCAAACTTGGCGAAGCGATTTTCCTCAATATTCCGGACTTTGAATGCCTTGTTTAAAGACAACACATCCCCACCGTAATAACTTTCATCTTCGCCTTTTATTGACATGATATTTTGCGAGTGTGTGCTTTTTAAATGTGTCCGCAAAGCCTGCAGTATATGACGTATCACAATAGTCCTTTTCAGCTTGTAAGACACAAGAACTATGCGCTGTTTAATAACTTTTATTTGTCCGTCTCTTTCCTAACCGGCTCTCAATCGCTCTATATTTTATACTAATAATACTCCATCAGTCCCCCGTTGTTGTTGTCTCTCCTTAGTCACTAGAGACTGTCTCGAATTACGCATGCACTAACTTTGTTTTAGTATACAAATCCTACATTCTGATTGGCTACTCAACATTGTCTATTCGTGATGGTGAACGTTTGGGAAAAATTCGCTCGCGCGACCGTATAAAATTGAATTAGGCTAATTAAGTTATTTTTCGGAATTATTTCTCGAAATTAATATATCTATACGTACAGGGTGTATACAAAAACATTTAGAATACCTGGGTATAGAATAAATGGGAATACCTGCATGGGTATCTGACGTACAAAATGCGGAATAACTCCGCTTCTTCCCATATACAATGGACTTTTTCTTTCTTTGCATGCATGATATTCTAGATCAATGCATAAGGGATTCTTTGAAGATATTTTGAAGTTGTTCGAATCGCGGAAGTCGCATGACTAAAGTGTAAATGTGGCGTCATGTTCCGGTACAATGTAAACTAAACTATATATCTTCTTAAAATACAAACTATACTAAATTTGCGTTTAGAATCATATACGAGTAGAGTGTTCGATATAGCGATATTATTCCCTATACAAATTTGTTTCGTATAACAAGCAGAGCCTGCCACACTCATAACTTCATAAGGTGAGTTTTTATCATTTTATAGTCTTTATTACCATGGAGTGAGAGGGATTTTGCGAAATATTCCTGAAGTGATGATATTTCCCAAGGTCATGGCCCGAGTTAATATCATTATAAAAAATCTTATCCCACTGAAAAAACGGAAGAATTTGGTCTGCTGTACTCTAAATTTTCAAGCCTTTTTTAGAAGAGTATGCAAGAGCTAGTGCTCCATCTCAGAATTTCATCCCAAAATTTCAGAATTTTTGAAGTGGCATTTTTATAATTTATCAAATATACACTTTCAAAATCGACTCCTTTTCGAAATTAATGCGATGGTATTATTATTGTCGTTCACTGTCGATTGTAATGAATCATGGCTTTGAAAACGATAAACCAAGCTTATAAAAAAGTAAAATGCGTCCTCACAGCAGTTTTTTGCTTACGAACAGAACTTCACAGAGTCTGGTATAGCCGGAGTATACTCGGTACATTTTATTCAAAATCAGTCAAATATTATTCAATAATTGGATCATTTGGATGTAGCTATATTTGCCCTTCAACGACACAAAAATTAGACCCGCTTTAAATAACTGTTCATCATCGGGGAACCATTATATCTACAAAAAAGACGTTCAGATAAAACTGCATGTTAACACATAATAATCACGTTTTTGAAATATATTTGATAATATTTGACACTGCGATCATTGATTATTATTTCGAACAGAGAAGCACGATATAACAACGCTTTATTCCACATCAAAACGCTGACACAATTGAGGAGGACTAAGTCCAACAAAACTAAATCAAAACGAGGTAGCTCGCTTTCACAGCAGACGCGTGTTTTCGTCGTGTCCGAAATAAAACTCAAAGTAAAAAATTGCTTGCGAATTTTGAAAGGTTATATATGGCACCCGATGGTCAGGCAGTGCCTGAATCGGTCACTGAGGAGTCAGAGAATCAACCTCAGTCAACGCCACAAGTTCCTTTGCGACCAAAACAACCGGTCTCGAAGCGACTAGGAAAAACTTTGGCCAAAGACCGCTGGGCGTTCGGGCTCACGAAGGGAAGCGTAAGGCTTCCAGAAGTATGAAAAAACCTTCAAAGAAGTCAAGAAGGTCAAAATTTGACTATTCTTCCTCTTCTTCGAGCTCTAGCAGCTCTTCTTCGTCGGCGAGTGAATCGGAAATTTCGAATGTTATGTTATGCAGGATATTTCTCCAGGTTAGTGTGACACGGTTTTACATTCATCTTCTGGATCGCTTATCGATGTGGTTATAGACTTTGCGTTATTTATTTTGTTCAGGGTATCGTTACAGATAAATGATAACTTGTTTGTTCAGTGCCTTGCTCGCTGATTTACACAGGTTTGGTGATGTCGAGGCTACCTCGTTTTGATTCAGTTTTGTTAGTCCTCCATCCGGTGTCTAAGCGTTTTGATGTGGAATAAAGCATTGTTATATCTCACTTCTGTGTTCTCATAATTATATAATCTTGACTTTGGCAGTTATAGGCTAATTTAAGTGGAGTTAGGGCCGAAGCGAAAATGAAGATGGGGTAACAAAGCTTTTCTTGAGGGCTTTAAAAACCTTTTTACCAAAAAACGCAGTGCATTTTAAATGCATGCTATTAGTGCGATATAGCTGCCCCACAGAATATTATATATAAATATATATATATATATATTATATATATATATATATATAATATATATAATATTAATATATATATATATATAATTATATATATAATATATATAATGTATATATACATGATACATGCATTATATTTTTCTTTGCTTTTGCAATTGCGCGTGGTTGGTTGTATAAAGCATGCATGCACGCAAAAAAATTGCGAATTGAAAAACTATACCCAAAAAAATCTGTGTAATGGCAGTCAACGAGAAATTTTCCAGGACGAGCTTTCAAAAAATTTCTCAAATCGTCGTGTTTTCCAAGACCAGCTTCGTCGAAATCGCTTGAAGTTGAACCTATATTGTGAAAAATTTATAATCATTAATCAAATCCTTTCCTGTTTCAGTTACGATGATCTGCGTAACTATTGCTATGCATGCATTCACGAGCTTGATCGATATCCCGCGTTAACTAGGCGGACTTTTATTCCGCCTAGTGGAAAACCGCTCTTATATAGTTGTGATGCAGAAGTATTTATAGTTTTTGTATTTTATTCACGTGCAAGGGGGTGACCATGTATAGTTAAATTATTTCATTTGTTCTGCGATTACAAAAGAAAACTGGGTATTAATTGAGCTATTCGGATGTCCAATTGATTCTGTTTTCAGCGTGCAAATATCAATCAATCCAACAAAGGGAGAAATTAGGCAATTTGCAAGATGGCCGCCGGAAATGTTCGCGGCTAAATTCAGGATGCTTTGGCAGAATGTATGCATTTTCTCTTCAAAAAATACGGGAGTATTTTGAAATTTCTTTTAGCTTAAATTCCCGCCCAAGTTATTTATGTTGTATATCGTTTTCTGAACAAGAAATTATATACATGTACAAATTCTACATTGGATAACTCTCTTTCAAATTTTGTTAAAATTTGAAAGGCCGGGGGGCGAGCCCAAATTTGCAAAATTGTCCTGCCAAACTTTTGTCCGTTATTTTTAGTTCTTCCAGGTCCTGGGCTGTTTAGTTTGTATCCAAAATTTCCGCCATTCCATACTTCGAAAAATCATTGCACTGCAGTCAAAATCAATAAAATATGAGTATACTCTTCTGGACCAAATAGAATCCAGTAATTTTAGTATGCTAATAATAAAAGTGATTGTCAGTTTCTACAATTGTTATTACGTAATACCTTGACCCGGATAGTTCGCATTTGATAACGGGTGTGTATCCTCGACTAGCATGTAATCTCCAGGTTTCATGAACGGCTCTAAATGGCCCAGAGATTTTTCCAGACGAACATGACAATCTTCAGAGATAAACCAAGGATGTGGTAACTCCTGTAAACAAAAGGATAACCTTAGGAGAGCACAACATCGGCATGAATAAAACTGCATTGTTCTTCGATCATGGAGTAAATTCACTTTACTACATCAATCTTCACAATGGAAAGCGATAATAAAACATAAAGAGTCCGTTCACGTCGGTTTAAAAGCACTATACGGTCGTTTTATCTGTCGACTATGTCGTACAGAGTGCACCGTGCGAGGGTACTAATTCTGGAGATGAGGAATTACACCGCCTGGAGATTAGGAATTACATTGAATATTCGGGAGATAAGATTTGACGTCCAGTCAGTAGTCCTTGAGGATTTTGTAGTGTTTTAATGGTTTAAAGCTTCAATATTTAACATTTAGTTAATTTGCGAGAGTTCATAAATGTCTGCTTTAATAATGCATTAGAATTTAATAACGAGCAATGTTTACTGCTGCACTTTTACTCTTTTCGTGCCGAATGATAAAAACACGTACGCAACGCGTGCATGTGGTAGCCTCTAAAGCACTGGCTGCGATAAAGCTAAACGCATATGGTCGACTATTTTCACTGAAAGATGAAGTGTGATTGGTGATGACTCAAAAACTTCAATTAACACTGAATAAATAAATTTTATTTACTGGTTGATAATTCTATACAACTGTTTCCCTTATTGACATTGTGTTTATCGTTAAGAATTGAATGATCCCAAATATTCACTGATTTAATTTCGTTGTAAACAATTGCAAACAATGACATAGCTACACACTGTCTACTACACCATTGACATGATTAATTGATCATGTGTTGTACAGGTAGAATCAATTATATCATTTATAGTCTTGGGGCCAGGATTTTCCTCCACGTCATTTGACAGTCTTCAAATATAGCCTCGTACCCAGGCGGTTTTTGAAAAAACAAAAGTTATATAGGTTTCATTCAGCTAATACATAGAGTTCAGTGGCCAAAAAAAGCGCGCTGGGGTGCTTGGGGTGGTTTTCAACCCCAGGCGCTCGCACATAGTGGTTGGTCTTCAATCGCAGTACGCATTATGCGTATATCACTGTTCTTTTGCTTTTTATTTCATTGAAATTTGAAAGGCAAGTAGAATAAATTGAAGTAGAACAATTGTATTTGATTCTAAAGTTTGCCATTAAGTATATTTTGTGCACTTTGTCACCACGTTAATTTGCCAAATGCTTTGTTTCATTAAAGAGGCTAGGATGAATCATTCGTTTACGAGATTTTACAAAAATATTAAACGTGAAAAGAAAAAAAACCTCCCGTTAATCGTGTCTAGGGGTTGTTGTAAGGAAATTTTGTAAGGCATGGCAAAATTTACGCGTGTTAATATATAACATATATACGATCAGAAAAGCTCTGCTGCCCTGCATGATGCATGTGAACTATTGTAATTAATATTTCATCTAAAATTTTGAGAAGCATTTTACGTAGGTTAAGCTTAGGTTATACGTCGCACTTTGGTCGCGTCGTATGCAATTCAAACTGTAGATAATGAGATGTGCACACGGCAAATGACGTTGAGTGAATCTTCAACGTGAGTGAGCATACCTTCAACATTTTCTCCGGGAGGACCTTCTCCATATCTTTCGAGACATCAGCTGTGATGAAAGTAATCTCATCTCTCTTTTTCGCTGTTTCGTGCAAGTATTCGGGTGTAATGTCGAGAGAATAAACGTGGGATTTCACACCAAAACATTTTAATGTGTCGGCATACCATAAGGCACATCCTCCTGCATAACTGCCAAATTCGATAATTGTCGCCGGTTTTTCACGGCCAAGCAAATCTTGCAAAGTAACCAAGTCGACGGCGCTTTTCATGACTGCCACTCCATTCCAAATCGTCTGATATTTGCCTTAACAACGGAATTAATAGAATGTGGTAGTAGACATTTGGATTGTTTACACTAGGAATCAGTTCGAAAGCACAGATGACAGCTATATTCCAATCTGATGATAAACAAGCCATCTTCACCGGGCAACTGCCCCCCTTGCCTTTTACCAGCAGTGGCAAGCGGGGCAAAGGTACCCTTTCCTCTTAAATGATTAGATTCTATATCTCAAAGTAAATGTATATGGTATATGTTCCCGTATTTGTCCATGCACATCCTCGTTCCTGGTTTTTTTCGCCTACTGGGTATGCTCTAGGCACACACAGTACGCGGAAAAACCTGAGGACTGCCACTATTTACCTACCAAATTTCCGCGTGGAGGCCTGGATCATGCATACAATATATATATAATATCAGGGGCAGTGGCCAAGAAGACATTCCTGGCAGCCTCGTACCCAGGCGCTTTAAATAACTATAAATGTAGGCACACTACAGGCCTTTACATAGATCAGTGGCTAAGGTGAGCGAGCGCACAGGGAATTTTGGGGAGGATGCGGGGAAGGAAGCGCCTGGAAGAAAATGCATAAAACCACTGGACAAATCGAGTAAAGCAATCAACAGTGAATGTTTTCATATACAGTTGGATCCATATTATATTCCACAATGCATTCGAAATCTGCGAGCAATCTGTGTCTTCTGTAGTGCATTGGCCACTTGATAAATTATAAGCTAGAGTACAGTAGGTATAATGGATTAAACTAGTATAGTAATCACAGATTAGTGATGTGCGTTCGGAATTAACGATCATTAACAAGAATGTTAACATTATAACGTCACGGGGTATGTGATTAAAAGGTTACCGACTAAATGTGCAATTCCTGCACTACGAATTTGAAAATGGCAGTTACAACCATTTGCGAGCTTCCATTAACCGTGCACTCGAAACAAGGTTTTAAAAAGTTTGAATTAATGCGTTTTTCAACGGAAACACATTTGTTTTGACTTTCAAACTTTTTGTGGGATGGGCCGAAACAATTAGTTTCATGATCAAAACATTTCACTTTTGCCTATAATTGTAACCAAAATTTGTAGCTTTGTTATGGCGTTCAAGATAAACAGGCATGTTAGATATAGACATCTCATTGCTCAATCTTGAATGGATTTACGATTAGTAAATTCCCCAAAAATTACCAAAATTACGAAAGTGTCGAAAATATCCCTGACTTGACAGACGCAATTATATAGAATATAACGAAAATATAGAATATTACACATACATATGCTATATATTACACATGCATAGATGTCAGTACATATCGTCTGAACTGAAAATGTCTACTATTAGTGAAAGTGTTTTACGGGGGTGGTTATGAACGATTATCAACTTTGTTCGGGATACACTTTGTGATATGAAATTTGCGTCATTCGCGAATCGAATTCGTCAAATTGCGTGTCATGAGAGTTCTTCTACATCGAAAAGGACGACGAAAATAAATACGTAACAACGAGTAACGATGACGCTTTTGAATTAAGATGCTCTTCATTGCATAACCCAAATGCAGAATCATGAAAACATCTTCCGACTAAGTATCAGAGTTGTCGATTCCTTGACGTCAAAGTCGCCAGCGAAAAAAAAAACAATGCACAACAATGGACGAGGACAAACCCACGCCACTGGCTGGAAAGAACGCTGCAAGTAAAAGAAAACTTTACTTTCCCTGCATGTCATATAGTGACTGCCACTGTCAATAAATCTGGAGAACGGGCAGAACCCAATGGGCAAAGTTGAAACGCCGATACACCTCTGCAAAGGTATATTTCTAATTGCCAGTCGAAAATAAATGAAAATTAAAATGCCAGGCTAAGAAGAAACTTGAGGACGATGAAACAAAGTTAAGAAAAAGAATCGAGAACGTAAAATTACAAAAACGGCAAAAGGGGTTCGATATGTCATAATTGCCACATGCGGTTGGGGCATTCATCTCGTACTTGTCCTTTCGATAGTTGTGAAACACTTTACAGCGGTGGGCAGGAAAAATTTCACGCAGCAGAAATGTCTAAACTACGGCAAGAAAGACAATCTATAAATAAGCTCAATAAGGAAATTGAACAGCAAATATGAGAAGCAGGATGACAGCTGTATCGAAATTAGAAAAGTCTATCACGAGTCAAATTGAAGTGGAGCTTCTTAGAGGCGGACGAAGATCAAAGTTATGATATAAACGGATTTTGAAACTGGTAGCTATTGCGAAAGCATGTGTACGCTATACAAGCAGGGCTGTAACTAGAACGATAATTGGGGGGGTGTAAAGGGCTGTAACTAGAACGATAATTGGGGGGGTGTAATGAACAATGAATATAATTATTCAGTTCTGCCCGACGGATTTCCATTGCGAGCTATTGCACTTACAAAAGAAATCCGTAGGGCAGAACTGAATATATGAATAAACATCCCCCCCAATTATCGTTGTAGTTACGGCCCTGATAATACAAGATATTCTAAAAAACTTTTAAACGGGAAAATACCACCAAAACATGAGCTGAAAAGCATTCTTAACCTTGCATTAGATGAAAGTTCAGAAGTGACTTACGAAATGAACAATAAACAAAGCTGCGAAAGGAAACATCGGGAAAATCCATTCAAGGAACTGTTTATAGAAAGAGAGGGGATTGCTATCCTATCCGAGCCCGCTTCGTACGAAGAAACATATGATAGGGATAAGTCAGATTTACCTCGATACATGCCAACGACAAGAGAGGAGGAAGAAGACCAATTTAATTTATCGAAAACTGTCGGATTTTCCCGAAGTTATGCGTGGTCTCCACGCAGGGTGAGAGTGTGACGTTATAGAAGAGGCCGACAACTCGTGGTCGATCGAACATGTTCGGCAGAAGAGGCCAACAAGTCGTAGTCTCTCTAACATGAACGGCAGAAGAGGGGAACAACTCGAGATCTTCTTTAACATGTTCGGGTAAGTAGCGATTTCGACCCCGACCAAGAAGGGAAAAACTCGAGGTCTTTCGAACAAGTTCGAAAAAGTCTCGATTTCGACCAGCACTAAGACGGGTGAAAATCGAATTCTCCCGAACATGTCCAAAAAAGTCCCGGTTTGGACCTGCAGTAGTTGGGGAAAATGTCGAGGTATCTCGAACATGTTCGAAAAAAGGTCGCGATTTCGCTGTGGTCGATTCGAGCGAAATAGCGATGTCGCGGGTCATGACCAAGGAGGATGTTTGGGAAGATGGAATGCGGTTTGTGAAACATTGTCAACATCGATCTTCAAGGAGGATGTTGCGGCGAACGGTTCTCCGGTTAATATTTTTACTATATATGAGGGGCATGTGCTCTGTGAATGAGTGCGAGTGCGAAATCAACATTGCTCGTTGTGGTGAGGAAGTCAAATGCGTCCAATCGTATGGCTGGCTTTCTTTCCACCTTCGGGTAAAAAGGCGTTGCGTTAATCGAAGTTTTGCTTCAAAGTTGGCTATATAAGAGGGGTATATGTGCTCCGTGAATTAGTACGAGTGCAATCAATCAATCAATCAAAACTTTATTTAAGCACGGTAAAATCTACAGTATAAAAAGTGGGCTATAATTATATACATTCATTAGATATTTAGAGACAAAATTACTAAATACAACACAATACAATACAATTTAAAATACAGATATATAAACTGATTTACAAGATTGCCGTGCGAGAGTCTGTTTTATAGGGAAAAAATGTTGTCAATCTCCCTTTTAAATTGGTTAAGAGAGCATAATGCTCGTACATTTTGAGGTAACTCATTCCACAACACCGCGCCACTATAACTAAAACTTCGTTTAGCATAATTTGTTCGCGGTTTTGGTACAAATAAAGCATTTTCAGAGTTTCTCAAATTGTATCCTGTGCTGTGGAATTCAAATAAATTACGGAGATAATTTGGTGTTAAATCGTTAAGAATTTTGAACATTATTACAGCCTTGTGTTTTTTCTGGCGTGTCGAAAGATTGTCCCAACCTAGTTTAGTGAAAAGGTCGCTGGAACTTGCATCGTATCCAGATTTGGTAATTACCCTCGCTGCTCTATTTTGCAGTTTTTGCAATTTATCATTTAACGTGATATTTAAACCATCCCAAACTGAGCTACAATAATCAAAATACGGTTGAATCAAAGCTCCGTAAATTTTGAGGGCAGTGCTTGTATCTATGAACTGGCGTATCCTTTTAAGAGCACCAATTGCCGACGCAACCTTTTTGGAAATGCCTTCAACGTGTCGCGCCCATACTAGGTGCTCATCAATTTGTAATCCTAATGATTTCGTATCTTTAACTCTCTTGATTATCTTCCCGTCAATTTCGATGTTTATTTGTTCATTATTGTGTATCATTAACCGTTGACGAGATCCAATTATCATAAATTCCGTTTTAGCGACATTTAGACTCAGTTTGTTAGCTATGAGCCATTGATTAAGATTTTTCAATTCAGAGTTAATTATTGATTCAAGCTCTGTTACAGATTTTGCCGCAATACTTATATTAGTATCATCAGCAAACATTCTCGGAGAGGCTCTTTCCAGACAATTAGGCAAATCGTTAATGTAAATTAAAAACAATAGTGGCCCCAAGTTGCTACCTTGAGGCACACCACAACTTATTTTAACAGCCTCAGATAATTCACCATTTACGCAACATCTTTGGCCTCGGTTGTTTAGATATGATTCAAAGAGTTTGATGCCGCTTTGGTCAACACCATATATTCTTAGCTTCCGTAAGAGAATGGTGTGATCAATGGTATCAAATGCTTTTTTGAGGTCGATAAAGACCACTCCATTGAGTAAGCCATTATCTATGTTGATTGACCATTTGTCCGTTGCTTCTAATAAGGCAGTTAATGTACTGTGCAACGATCGAAAACCGGATTGAATTTTGGATATCAAATTATTAGCATTTAAATACTCATATAGCTGATCAAAAATCAGTTTTTCAAAAATCTTAGCAACACATGAAATTACGGATATTGGTCGATAGTTGTCCATATCATCTTTTCTACCTTTCTTAAAAATCGGCGTAACTCTTGCTAACTTCCATTCCGTTGGGAATATGCCAGTAGTTATAATCTTATCAAATATTAGAGTTAATGATGGGGCAACGATTTCAGCTGCAAGTTTTAAAAGTTTGCAGGGTATTTTATCCAGACCTGATGCTTTCTTTTCGTTAATCGTTCTTAATTTACTACAAACTGTATTTATTGTGGGAGGTGTCAATGAAAATGTGGTTTCAGTTGGCTCAATATAAACCTCCGGTTCCACAGCAGA